TAAGTAAGTAAGTAAGTACGTGTGTAAGTATCTATCTCGTTGTTTTCCATCAATTGACATGTTTTATGTAAAGTATAAACAATGATTATAATTCTATGTTATCTTTAAGTATTGAATTATTTTATATATAATATATATATATATATATATATATATATCTTTTTTTTTCTGTGAAAAAAAAAAGAAAAAGAAAAAATGAAAGAAAGAAATGAAAGATTGTTCATTAATAATAAATTTGATATCTATCTGTACGAATCATTTTTATATTTTAGTACAGTAGAGAGTAATGATACATACATTGAAATTGATTGAAATCAATTCTTCCTTCTTTTTATTGTTTCACTTTGTTTTGTTTTATTTTTATAAAGAATAAAATGTAAAATCATGCCCTAGATCAGTAATATAAATTAATTTGTATTCTTTTGAAATGTTTTTCCAAATAAGTAATGATTTTCCTTTGGACATATTTTTTCTGAAATTGAGAAATCATTGGGACGACTTTAATTGATTGCATAAGATTAAGATTGACTTTGATTCTGATTAATACATGGATGTAAACTTATCGAGTGATTGCTATCGTTAAAAAAAAAAAAAATAAAATAAAAAAAAAAAAAAAAAAGAACGGAGAAAAGAAAAAATGTAATTTACAGGAACGTCGTTTATCGGTCGGTCAGTCGAATGCATGCGCAGCACATTCTCGAAGCGACGCGACGGCATCGTATGACCCAGTATTGCATCACATAACATCAAGTAAACAAGCTTCTTTTTAACTATCAAGTCTAATCGTTCTAAGATAACGATTCCTAAAAACAGTATAATTGCCGTATGATCTTACGAGAAGAGAAATGCGTCTAGCTAAATAGCCAAAATCTTGTTTAAAAATAAATGATTTTCAAGAAATACAAGATAAACGTTATCGAATTAAATCCTATGGACTTCACATGGAAAGTTTTCGTTCTTTGATATGATTAATAAAATATCTCTTTCCTCTTCTTTTTTTTTTCCTTGTTATTGTTGTTGTTGTTGTTGTTGTTGTTATTGCTTATTACGTATGCTTAGAAAAAATGACAAATGAATCATCGAAGAATTCAGACGTTTTAATTCTATAAATTTAATCGATACATTTAAAATGTTTCAATATTTTTAAATTAATCTTATGATTTCTTATGTTCTTAAAGTAAAACATTTTAAATATGTATATGATATAAATGCATACATTTAAAACTGATTTCTTTGAAAGAATCCTAATCTTAAAGGTCAATATAAATATTTTTAATAAAAATCATATTTTGACTCATTTTTCAATATTTATATTAATTTAAAAACAAAATAATCTTATTATTAACTATTTAGTTACTTATTAACTATTAGTAGTTAATAACTAAGTAAACTTATTAACTATTAGTAATAGAAAAAATAAATAAAAATTCCGTTATCATAATCACTTTTTTTATGAAATTTAATAAAAAATTAATTCCACACATACAGCCACACACACACACACATATACACACACATATATATATTCTTTTCCATTACTTAATTAAATTACATTAAATTTATCAATATGTTTTAACTTCATGACCACATGCATTTAAGGGTTAATGACAATAACCGATAAGTATAGTCCGATTCATAAGGATCAAAGAGAAGTCAACCGGAAAAGCGAGACCCGTGCCTTCCGTTCCTTGATGGAGTAATGTGCGTTTGTTATGTTTCAATTGCTCGTTTTGCAACCCACGCACAAATTACACGCATCTTTGTGTACATATACCGGTGTATACACTCATTAATTAATTAATCCATGCTAATGTCCAAACATATTTTTATACGATAACGTGAAAAAGCAAATTGATACAGAAATATCAAGGTACATACTTACAAACGTATAAAATATCAAATCTAATCGTATATGTAATATAAATCCTATCAATATTCTTTCTCATAATGAAAATGACTTTGAAGCTATGATTTTTAAACTGTCGTAACAATTGTAGAAAAAAAAAAAAAAGAAAAAGAAAATGATCATAATAACTATTGTAACAATTGATATCTACGGCCATAAGAAAAATATACCGCCATGTTGATTTTCAAAGGCGACAAATAACACAGAGGACATATTTATCCAAACGTGCGTACTTACTTACTACGAGCAAGGAAATTCGTCTCTCTTTTAATGCGTGTATGTCGATGCGTAAACGAGAGGCGGAGCCATTCCTCGGAAGAGGTCATAGGGCAGTACCAATCACAGCTCACTGATAAAAGCACTCTTACACTAGCTTCTCTTCTTCTTCTTCTTCTTCTTCTTCTTCTTCTTCTTCTTCTTCTTCTTCTTCTTCTTCTTCTTCTTCTTCTTCTTCTTCTTCTTCTTCTTCTTCTTCAATATGTATACATATACACGTACTTACATGTACTTACATGAATAGGTTTACGTGTTACATTAATGCGATTCTACACGTGACGAACGTTTAAAACGTTTTGCTAAAAAAAGAAAAGGAAAAATACAGGAAGAAAAAAAAGTTAAGTAAACAACTCTACAAAAAAATTATTGTTATTATTATTATTATTATTATTATTATTATTATTATTATTATTATTATTATTATTATTATTATTATAAATTAATGAAATCAAAGTAAAATTATTATTAATATTTATTAATGTTTATTAATATTTATTAATATTTATTTATACGAAAAAGAACAGTATGCTGCTGTTGTTATTGTTGTTTTTATTTCTTTTTAACTTATTTTTTAATCAATTTTTGTATATAAATATAAAATAGAATATATAGAGGAAAGATCATTGCTTGTGCAAAACTCGTTTTTTTCGTTTCGTCGAAAGCAATGAAAAATTTGTTCCTGAACTGGAAAAGGCCAGAATGGCCACACGCTACTTAGGAAAATCACGGGTATCTGGAAAGTGGAGAACGATTTATCACCTGAATCAATCCAATCGCATCTTCGGAAAGTCAAGCACTATTATGCAGGATGTCACGGTTCGTATAATCGAACGATTTATACGTGTCGTGCGTGAGCTGCTCTAAGATTTCGTAAAACGTACGACGACGTTTCGACTTTCTCTTTACGTTTCCCCTCTCTTCTTGAGGGGAATAATAAAAATAAAACAAAAATAAAAGATTCAATATATTTTACTTACAGCTTAATTTCTATTACGATTTCCTTTCAATTTTTTTTAAATGGTATTAAAACAATAAAACGTACAAACGTATAATACAATATTTTTCTTTTTTATCTATAATTTTATCTATATATATATATATATATATATATATGTTTATTGTATAATCCGATAATGATATTTTATCATTTTTATGCACAGTGATAATAAGAAAAATAGTAATTTTTAATTTAAATCTTTAACTATCAATACACCCAGCGCCAACTATTGAATATTACTTTAATGTCAAAGAGCACTGAAACTGTCGATAAAAAAGTACCGATCGTAGATAAAATATTTGTAAAATTCAATCTAATAATATTAAACATAGAATTCAAAAAAAAAATATATATATATAAATATTTTCGAAGATCAACTTATTAATTTAAATATAATTGTATTCGAGATTTAAATACAACTTTCATAAAAACATATATAAGTATTGACTTTATCATTGACAGTATACTTAAATTGATGAAGTACTCACGCTTATCGATAGATGGTATTCAAAGTCCAATTGATCGATCTCTATGTATAAAAAGTTAAATAAGAAATTTAACTTTAAAATAATAAAATGATGGAAACAACAAATTGTAACTTTTCGATGATCGCTATCTGTAATATTTGCAATTAAAAAAATTTATCATTTTATATATATATATATATATATATATATATGTATTGATCAAGATATTGATTAATAGTGATTTATTTAAAATAATTGTAAAATTCGATATCGAACAAATAAATATTGACATTAAAACGATAAGAAGAAATATTATATCTAAAAGACGATAAACAAAATACTTAACTTTTGCTTATACGTTGATGGTCTAATGACAAAATTAAAAACGGAAATAATTTTAAAATTAATTCCCGGGTGAATCATATCTCAGAAGGAAGATAAAAATGAATGATCTTTAGATCTGTATGATATTGTATTCGTTATACGATCTTTGTTTACAACATTGTATAAGATATCTAGATAAAACAATGATTTTAATACACGTACAATATACGTCATTTTTTTATCATTTTACGATAGCGAGTGCAAACGATTTTTCGTTTTTATAAATTTAAAGAATCTAGAGATAGTGTTCGTTGAATGTGACGCACAATACCGTCGTTCACTTTTCCTTATTCGTGATTTCTGACCACACACACACACACATATATATATTATATAAATTATATATATATATATATGTATATATATATAATTTGTCTCTAGGAAAAAAAAGTATAAAGAGCATCTGTGAAAGAGATATACACCGTACAAAGTACTATAAAATACGCTTACAAATAGTCCGATTAATTATTACACTCGTAATATTGTTTATAAAAAAAAAAAGAAAAAAAAAAGAAAAAAAAAATGAAACGAAAAAGTAAGAAGTTAACAATTCGATCGTATTATACCCTATCGTATTATAAATCCAACGAATCTTTGGCTAATATCTAAAAGAAGATCGATCGATAATCTAAATCGATATCTATTCACGAATTTATACAATACAATCATATATGTACATTGTTAAAAATGTTTGTGCTATATAATCGTCCCTAAATAACTTCGCGAAATATGGTTTAGTCGAATGACAAAAAAAAGAAGAAAAAAAAAAAAAATACACAAAATAGAACAAAAAATTAGAAGAAAAAAAAAAAGGAAAGATGACAATCGAATTATATATTGACGACGTATACTTTTAATTCCTTAATTATTATTTTGTCATTGAATCATTACGGGCAAATTTTTATTACAGCAACATCAAATACTTCTTTTTTTTTTTTTTTTTTTTTTTTTTTTTTTTTTTTTTTTTTTTTTATTCTCGTTAAGACGCGCAGTCACAAACGCAATAACTGCACCGCTACGCACACTAAACAACATATTTTATACAGTCTAATGAATGAAGGACAAATATATCGTTTCTTTGGACATTTTTCATATTTCTTTGTATAATATTTTTTTATTTTATTTATTTCTTTCTCCTTTATTTGCCTTTCTTCTCATTTCTTTTTTTTTTCTTTTTTTTCTTTATTTTTTTTTTTTTTTTTTAGTTACCCTCTCCTACAGAATAAAATGAAAAACAATTCTTATAAATTATTTCAAACAAAACATAATTTTATCTATTAAACATTTATATATAACCTCGCTCGGTAATACCCTCCATTGTTGTTGCATAGTACGCAAAAGGTAACTATTAAAAAAGATATAATCGCAAATTTTTCATTAAATAAAGAAACACGAAGAAACGTGCCGGTGATGATATTACAACGTGGAAAGCACATATTGTTTTTTTTTTTTTCACTGAATCGAATGGCAGTGATGAAAGAACATATATATTATATACCATATGTGTACATATATATACATATATATATATATATATATATATATATATATATATATAAACATGCATATCTCAATGTCGTTATTTCTGCAACAATCATTACGTTACAATAAATTTTAGTTAACTCGAACGATTAATTTTTATCATTCATTCGTTGAAAATTAAATAGACTCTTGATGGTGTTTTTTTTTTCCTTTTTATTTTTTTTCCTTTTTTTTAATTTTATTTATTCATTCATTATTTTTTTTTTCCTTTTTTTTTTTTTAGATTGATCACGATTCATGTTCGTTTGTCGAAATAAAATTTTTATTAAACACGATTTCTTTTTCTGTAACATCGAGGACGAATTATATAACATAAATAATAATTATTATCATTATCATTAATTATTATTATTAATTATTATTAATTATTATTATTAATTATTATTATTATTATTGATCAGTATTACTTGTTTATTATTTTTTTTTCTTCATTTCGCTCAACAATGAGTCTATATAAGTAACACTGGAAGAAATCAGGGTAAGGGTACGGGTGGGGGGGATGGGTGGGGGGAGGGGTAGCGCGGCGGAGATGGCGTTGGCGGCGGCGGCTGTGACAGCGATCCTCTCTCTCTCACTCTCTTCCTCTGCTAATGCTTTATTTCATCCTATCTTTTTTTTTTTCTCTTTTTCACTTTTTATTCATTCACACCGTACGCTTGTACCTCAAACTCTCTTTTTCGCACACAAACAAACACAACATACGTAACGTACGTACGTAACATTTTTTTTTTTTAGTTGTGTACTTACACGCACATTATCTTTCACGCATCGCGCACACTTACACACACACACACGCACACGCGCACGCGCACACGCACACGCATACATGACTACCTACCACCGTGCAATTTTTTTTCTATCTGTTTTTTCTTCTGCTGTTTTATCTCTCTCTTTTTCTCTCTATTTCTGTCTATCTTTCTCTATCTTTCTCTATCTTTCTCCCTCTCTCTCTCTCTCTCTCTTTCTCGTTCATGTAGAACTACGCAAAAGATTTTGGTATATAATAATACCTTTACTTAATATTTAACCTAAATTGTAATAATAGCGTGAAGCATTGTGAGTGGTATGTACATCATACGCGCACAGAACTAATAAATATATATATATATATATATATATATATATATATATATTATTCGATATCATCTTTTTTATTATTTTCCATCGATCATCTTAAAACAAAATGTTAAATTGGATCTTTTTTTGAGAAATATATGTATATACACATATGGTATATATATATATGTTTGTATATATATATATGTATGTATGTATTGTATATATATATATATATATACGGAATGGAGGGGGTTCAGGAGGATAAAGAAGGTAACTAATCTCTCTTTCTCTCTCTCTCTTTTTTTTATATGCCTGAGTTCTTCAATATGAAGTGCCAATTCGCTCTCATTTGCTTATTCCCCACCACCGCTCCTCCCCGGCTCGTTTTCGCACTTTTCTTCGTCGAGCGCTTTTTCTTTCACGAGATCTAAAGTGTTCTTTTTTTTTTCTTCTCTTTCTTCTCTTTATCTCTTTTTCTTTCTTTATTTAACTCTCGTTCCTTTCTCAACTACATAATCACGCATTTTTCTTTTTCCCCCTCAGTTCTTCTTGTAACAACAAACATTTTAGGAATTTGCAAAAAATTCGTTTCCTTCCATCAAACGATTCTGGCAAAAAGCTTTTGGTTCATTCTTTTTTTTTTCTTTTTTTTTTTTTTTCTTTCTATCCTCCAAAGAATCAGTACATTTTCCAGAAAAGGACGTGAGTTCTCTTCTCTCTTTGTACTCTGAAAGATTCCTCCATCGAAGGCTTGTTTTTTTTTTTTTTTTTTTTTTTTTTTTTTTTTTTTTTTTTTTTTTTTTTTCTTTTATTTATCTAACTTCCGAAGTTCAAAACGCGTTTCACGTTCTTTTTTTTTCACCGATAAATGTGCCCTTAAATGTATACTTAAAACGAGCCCATCATTCATACCCGCAGGTGTAGAAAATACTGCACAATTAATGTTAGAACATGGCAAGTGGGCGTAACGTTTCATTTTTGTCATTAGAATACAGCATCATCTCGTGTCTTCGTATGTAAGGTCACAGATTGGTTGGTTGGATGATTGGTTGATTGATTGGTTGGTTGTTTGGCTGATTGATCGGTCGGTCAGTGAGGGGGGTTAAGGAGAGTGGCGGTGACCAATTTTGAAAGGCCATATACACCTATGATTGACTAATCGTCAGCTCCCATGACGACTAATCAATCCGAAAGGAAAGAAATTTCTTAATTTCATTTTCTTACGATGTTTTTGTCCTCTCGTGAAATTGGCAGAGCCTTCAGCGAAGCTTCAAATTAAAATAACGTGCGTGCGAATATTATTCTTAACGTTTCAAGGTAGCATGTATTTTTTTTTTTTTTTGTATTTCTTTAACATTTTGTTTGTTGTATTGTTATTATTATTATTATTATTATTATTATTATTATTATTATTATTATTATTATTATTATTATTATTATTATTATTGGAAAAATAGAACAAAAAGGAAAAAAAAAAAAAAAAAAGAAAGAAAGAAAAAGAAGAGAACAAAAAAGGGATTAACGATCATGCGTTTGACAAACGTTACAAGCGCCCGCTCACCTGCACTGAACGAACGAACTTATTATGGAATGTACAAATTGTTTTTTATCCGTCATTTATCTCATAATACGATTCTTTAGATAAGCGAAATTGTTTTTTTTTTATTTTTTTTTATTTTTTTTTTTTTTATTATTTTCATTTTATAACACCATCGTCTTTCTGCTGGCACGTAAAATAAAGTTGGTCGACTCTTATAATTCCGTGGCCATCCTCGAATCGCGAACTAACGTGCAATATTTCGGATAACGCACGAAATAATTTCGATTCTTTTACTTCATTGGGTTAATCGCTGGCCTTCGCTATAACCCAACACACTTTGCTCATTGATCAGAGATAATGCAAAATGCCATTTACGTCCAGCAGGCTTTTTTTCAATTGACTTAATACTATCATATATCTGTTTTTTTTTCTTTTTTTTTTTTTTTGTTTATTTACTTAATACATTCACGCTTCTTCCGCTGACTCTCTCTCTCTCGCTCTCTCTCTCTCTCTCTCGCTCTTTCTCGCTCTCTCTCGCTCTCCCTCTCTCTCTCTCTCGCTCTCTCTTAACACACCATTCTTTGTCCCCCTTGCATCCTCTCTCGGTTGTACGAATTCTGTTTTTTTTATTTTCTTTTTATTTCTTTTTTTTTTTCTTTTTTTTTTTTTTTTTTTTTTTTTTACAGAACCATCACTGTACAACGACCGTATATATTATGCCGTCTTTTACACGCATAATAATTCAAACATTTGTTGTTGGCCTTTTTCCCTCTTAACAATGTACTTTCGTTTTCTCGTACTTTGTTACATGCTGTATACTGCCACTTCAATTACGTTTAATATTATAATTGTGCTAAGTATTCTTTTATGAATAACATTCTCATCTTTATACATTCAGTAGAGCCGATTATTTTAATTGATAAATTCAATGTCAAACTACGCTAGAAATGATTACTATACAGTGAGAGAAATGTTTCGTCGTGGGACATGGGGTATTTTTTTTTCTCCTCTATGTAATTCCCTGTCGCCTGTGAATTTTCACATTTTCTTTTAATTAAATTTCGTCCTCCTTTCGTAAGATCGAAATAATTCATTCAATTAGATCATTCGTATCTCGACTTGCCGCAGCCATGCTTGTATTGCAGTACTTCCGATAGATACATCTTTCACGTTATGATTTGTGTAGACGTTAAATGCACGAGTTCTAACATATGGAGTTGAATATAACATTACAGAAGTATGCGCATGTGAGGCGATGCGGGTATGAACGAAGTAATGTGTGTATATGATTAAGTAAAATGTTGAAACAAGTTGCAATATTTAATAGTTGGGGAGCGTTGTTGGTTGCAGGCGACAAGTCTTGCATTCTTGCCTCTACGCGCTTTTTATTTTGTGTACAAATAGATGGCAACGATGAGACCATAAAGACCCAATACTTCTGCGAAGATGAGAATTAAGATCATACCGACAAAGAGGCGAGGCTGTTGTGCAGTGCCTCTTACACCCGCATCTCCCACAATACCAATGGCAAATCCTGCAGCTAAACCAGAAAAACCTACGGCTAAGCCAGCACCCAGGTGGACAAAACCGCTATAGCAAAAGGAAAGAAAAAGAAATTCGTTAATCGTTAACATGCGCAAGTTATCAGTTATACAATAATATCTATTCATAGTTACAATATTAAACCCCTTACTTGTATATTATATATTTGAAAAGTTTAATAGCCTTGCATGTAAGTTTGGCCATAACAATAACATCTTTCATATTTATTATATATGCAAAATAATAAAAATAACAATTGTTATCTTAAATATAAGCTTAATCTTAATATATTATTAGTTAGTTTAACTAGTCATTGAAAACGTCTACTCTCTAATGGTGCAAGTAAAGTCAAGTTCTTAAAATCAAACCTAATATTAACATGGTTAAAGCGTACAGCAAAATATCAGTTTATTAACAAGTATAAAGGGTATACTTACTTATAAAGAGTGTAGATTGGTGGTTCGTTTAGATTACCGGCAATAAGAACCGCCACTACCAGTCCATAAATGGCAATAATACCCGCCATGACAACAGGAATGATAGATTTCATAATAAGTTCTGGCCTCATAACAGACATCGCTGCAATCCCTGTACCTGATTTGGCTGTGCCATAAGCTGCTCCCAGAGCTACAAATAAGAAAATCAATGTATGCTATTGTAATTATAACCTCAAACATTTAAACCTAATACATTTAAAATATTGTACAATTTCTTCCATAAAATAAATCAATTTAAATATATAACAATTTGACCAATAGTTTCATTCAGAAAAAGTTCTGACAAAATTATTTCCTTTCATTATAAAATAAAAAAAAACAAAAAAAAAAAAAAGATCTCAATGAAATGTTACTTTCATATACAATTTTTAATTCATATAAATCGAAAATCAAAAATACCTCGGTATTCATCACATTATTGAAACAATGCATTTCATAAATGCATTCTCAAATTCAGGACAGTTTCAGTAGGCGCGTGGGTAGTAAATATCGATCAGCAGAGGGTCCAAAAGATATGCTAGCACATAGTTTGAATATCTTGGAATATCTCGTACTTTTCGAGTGGAATTCAAAATATGATATTGCATGATTGCAATGTCGAAAGGAGAAAAAGGAAAAAAAAAACAAGAAAAAAGAGAGAGAGAGAGAGAGAGAGAGAGAGAGAGAGAGAGAGAGAAAAGACAGGAGGAAAGAAAAAAAAAAGAAAAAAAAAATAGAAATAGAAAGAAAAAAAGGAATAAAGCCGAAAGATAAATAATAAAAAAGAAAGAAAGAAAACAAAAACGTGTTCGATAACGAGCACGTTACGCCCAGAGAAACTGAAGTGAAGTCACATGAGTCTCACGTTGGCGGTCACATGATAATCATGTAAGTCCCGTCCCGTGAGTAGGAGGGGGCGTGGCACAACTGGACCCCCTCCGATTTTTTTATTTTTTTTATTTTTTTTTATTCGTAAAACTTATTGTTTCCATGAAAAATGAAAAAGATAAATATAAAAAGAAATAAACAAAGCAAAACAAAATAAAATAAAACAAAAAAAATACTGATCCTACCTCTATCACTTCGCATATCCTAACCTTTTAGTTGAAAGAAAAGAAAAAGAAAAATAGAAAAACAAAGAAGAAAAAGAATTTAAGTGAAAGTTTATGAACTAATCGATACATAAAAAGATACGGGAGAGATAGAGGGATAAGAAGGAAAAAAAAAAGAAAAAAGAAAAAAGAATGGGGAAGAGGAGGAAGGCGGAAGGAACAAATGAAGAATGAGTTTCTAAAGGCACACCATGGGGGGGCCCATTTAAGATCAAAATAAAGAATCTTTTTATATGGATTTTCATTATCTCTTATTCTCACTCGTGCCTCGTGTTCGATCCTTCTCGTGTGTTGCCGTCTATTCAAGAGGACTTCGGCGCACACGAGAAAAGGGATTCGTATTGATTTCCTCGATAGGAAGCCGAGGCTCGTGGCTTAGTTCCCAGAAAGAAAAATTCGATTGCCTTCTCTTATCCATCCATCCATCCATCCATCCATCCATCCATCGTTCCTTCCTTCCTTTTCTCTCTCTCTCTCTGTCTCTTTCTATCTATCTCTCTTTAAACAGATACACTTTACTTGTTCTATTGGCGTCTCTCCTTCAGAGATATCGTAAATTTTCGAGAGGACATATTACGACGATGATAACAGTGTACAATGATGACCCACTACGCAACAAAAACGACATCGTCATCGACGTGGACGATCGGCAAATAGAAGAAAGAAAAGGAAAAGAAAAAAAAAGAAAAAAGAAACCTCCATCGAGGTCAAAGTTACGAAATAAGAATTTAAGCCCACCTTCTCAACTTTAATGATACATAAATACAGAGAAAAGAGAATTAAGAGAACAAGCGAGGAAGAGCGAGCGAGCGAGCGAGCGAGAGAGAGAGAGAGAGAGAGAGAGAGAGAGAGAGAGAGAGAGAGAGAGAGAGAGAGAGAGAGAGAGAGAGAGAGATAGAATCTGTCTGGTAGAGAAACTTTTTGGATCACGTTTTCGGAACATTACGAAATCTACGATCTACATGCGCAGGAAAATGGCGCTTCGAATATCGAATCCGTATCCTTGGCATCTTCAGCTAACCGAGATTAGAACCTCTCTGCCGTTGCTATGCGAATCAAATGAGACAGAGAGAGAAAGAGAGAGAGAGAGAGAGACAGAAAAGACTCGTCGTATTTTTCCATTTCCTATCGTTAAAAGGACGAGAAGCAACGAGTCTAATACGTCTTCTTCGTCGTCGCATGAGAAGGGGAGTGAAAGAGACAAGAGAGATACGAGAAAGATGAGGGAGAGGGAGGGATAGAGAGAGAGGGGGAGAGAGAGAAAGAGAGCCTAAATTATAAGTATCGTTTCAATTGTACGTCGTTCAACTGCGCTCTGTCCATCTAACAATTTGTCCATTCATTTAGATTTAGTTTTGATTTCATTCGATTGTCAAATAAAACGTGAGACTTTTTTTTAAAAGTAAAAGTGACGAAAAGACCTTGTCATCGATTCGAGGAAATATGCGATCGATTTTTCTCCAAATCTTGCGCGCCTTACGTAGATAAAATGGCGCGTCGACTTAACCAGATTCCCCGGGGACACGTACGGCCGATAATACGATAGTCTTTTTTATCGTATCTCTTCAATAAATCCATTTCTATCGTGTTTACTCATACGTCATCGTTCTTCATGTAATTCCAGGTTGCTCTTTAATATCATCAGAATCGATAATTTCGTCTCGAGAAGAGAAATCGATTGATGTCGGATGGTAGACTATCGTTGTGAAACTTACCGGAAAATATAATGGCAGAGGCAGCGCCCATTACTCCGAAAAAGGGCCCGTAAATGGGTGCGCCCTCCGGAAATGCGGAACTCATCGTGTATATTTTTTTTTTTTATGTGTATGTAATTTCCTACGTCTCTGAGACTGCTCTCGTTCTATGCGTAGGATCGCGAGTATTTACACAGGTTGTCGAATCGCGGACCGTCGAACGAAGAGCGATCTTCACGCACTCACTTCGCTAGACTAGTGCCACTGTCAAATATGGCCTACCGTACAGTGGCGCGGGTCATGTGACAAGTGACGACCGTGAGAGGAAGCTGTTCAGTTACCGAATAATGTCTTCTCGATTACGATTGGTCCTTGAATTGAAGACTACCGAGTAATTGACCAATCCTCGACATCGTCTCTTTTCGTCGATGTGACGTCAAGTACTTCTATAAGCTCCCTCTAGGTGATCATTGAAATAGCTATTATCGCGCATGTGCCTGCATTTTAGAAGCGCGTGACGCGCGCCCTTCCGACTCTTTATCTACGCCTATGTAATATTTGGAGATTGTACTTGAAGACGATTGAAGAGATTTAATTTACTTATACATTCTTCCCATGACACTATTTCATATATTTCAAAATTTCTATTCGTCACATCGTCGATGGCTTATTTCGTATAATAAAAGAATTATGAAATATTTTAAATATTTTATATAAGACCGAACGTATCTAAAATATATATAAAAAAAAAATTCACTACATTTATATATATATATATTCTTTTTTATTTTATATCGATTCTTTATCTACCTTCTCTAATTTAAATAACGTAATTATCGTGTCATTTTCTTATCAGGTTAATGGATGTAGAAAATTTATCGCTATTACGTATCAAATCCAAATGCGTTATCGCATATGGATAAATGTAGGACAACATTTTTATATTCGTTATTATTCAACTGAGAATATTTAATTTAGAAATAAGATGCAAATATGAGTAAATAATTATATTACGATTACTTTAGTCTAATAACAATAATTTTTAAACTTTATCCTAAATACAATTATAATGATTAATATGAGAAAAATTAGTTTCATTCGTCTTATTGTTTATATAATAATATTACATATGATATATATATATATGTATATATATATATGTACAATCTTTTAGTAATTTTTATAGTTTCTGCGAAAGAAAAAAATAATCTTTTATTCGTCGATATATAAATTTATATATTCAAGCCGACGCCTTAGTTTTAAACACGTGATCTTAAAATTTTCAACGGAAGTACTAGAGTACGCCTATGTTGCATATATGTAACCAATTTAAACGTCATAATAAACGTGCTCTGCAAAATCTTTTTATTATATTTTATATTAACTTGTGAAAAGAACAATGAAGTTCGCTTATAAGGTATAACATGATTTTAATTTTAAAACTTTATTATTATTAAATATATACATGGATAAAATATTAATTTTATATAAGAGATAGTTTCTCCTAACCTATTTTCATTTGTTTATTTTACTACATTCATTTCGATAAATATTGATAATATTAATACGATAATCTATTAAATGATATAAAGTTTATATAAGATATTCTTTGTTTTTATAGTTCAGTAATATACTTGGTACGGTCTATCGCAAGGGAGATTTGATATTTTCTCCTGATGGATCATCTGTTATTAGTCCTGTGGGTAACAAAATCTCAATATTTGATTTAAAGAAGTAAGTACTTTAGAATAATAATAGTTTATAATAATAATAATAATAATATGCTAATCATATAAATTAATAATATTGTTATAAAATTAATTTTTGAGTTTTGATTAAGTTATGAAATTAATTTTTAAGATTTATTAAAATTATAATTGTTTTATTACAGCAATAAATCCTTGACTCTTCCCATAGAAAGTAAATATAATTATACTGCTATAGACATATCTCCAGATGGATATTTGTTAATTGCGATTAATGAAGGTATAACATATAAAAATAAGTTTGTTATTAATAAATGATATGATGAGGTTATAATTAAATGAAAAATTATTTGTAGTGGGAGACGCTCATATAATCAGTATGATAAGTAAAATGATTATACATAAATACAGATTTAAACGTCGTATCAGAAGTGTAAAATTTTCTCCAGATGGAAAACACTTTGCAGTTTGTAAAGAAAATAATGGTAATTACATAGAAAAAGAAAATATCCATTTTCTTTGTTTATCATTTATATAAAGTATACTTCTTAGTTATAAATAAATTATTTGTACATTTCTATTTATAATCTTTTTCAGTTTTCATTTTCAATGCACCTGGTCTACAATCGGGAGAATATAATCCATTTATAATGGAACGGATATTTCATGGAGCTGTCGATGAAACAACATTCATAGATTGGTCTTTCGATTCAAAACTTTTGGCAATTGGTTCAAAAGATGCCACTACAAAATTGTACAGTTTACAGAAATGGGAAAACTTTAAATTCATTACACTTGGTTGTCATACTGATATGATAATAGCATGTTTTTTTGAAAAAAATAGTTACGATATATCGACCATTAGCAGGTATAGTATAAATGTATAATAGTATAAATGTATATAAATAGTATAAATGTAAATAGTATAAATGTATATAAATTATATACATTTATTAATATTTTTATGAATTATTTTAAAAACTTTAAAAAACTTATGAACAGAAATGGACAATTATGTGTTTGGGAATGTACCATTGATCCAGATGATCTAGTAGAATGGGAACCACCAACTAAAAAGGATAGAAAAACTGATAGTGATGATGAAGATGATATAGACCTAGATAAAGCAATAGAGAAAACTGATAAACAACGAAATAACTTAGAGCGAAAATTAGTCCAATTACGTAATATAAAATTTTAATAAATTTTACATAAAGCTTTAGTACATTTATATTAAAAATTTCAATAAATTTAATATTTTAGAACTTACATCTGAACAGAATGAAGAAGAGAATACAGAAATGGATTCAAAGGTTAAAAAATTACGTTATAAAAAAATTGCACGGCATTACTTAATAAATGAAATACGAAAACAAACCAAAGATGCAGTATTAACAGCAGCTACATATCACAGAGATACTCATATTTTAGTAGTAGGATTTAATAATGGTTCCTTTTGTTTATATGAAATGCCTGAGGTTAACATGATTCATTCTTTAAAGTATGTTTTGAAAATGCAAAGAAATAATATCGTATTATACAATTTCTTTACTTTATCTTTTTTATTTTAACAGTATTTCTGCGCAAGGTATTTCTTCTATAGCATTGAACTCTACTGGAGACTGGATAGCTTTAGGATGTTCTCATATGGGTCAATTATTGGTCTGGGAATGGCAGAGTGAAACGTATGCTATGAAACAACAAGGACATAGTAACAATATAAATTGTTTGGCATATAGCCCGGATGGACAATATATTGTTACTGGTGGCGATGATGGAAAAGTAAAGCTATGGAATACAATGAGTGGATTTTGTTCAGTTACATTTCAAGAACATTCATCTGCGATTTCAGGAGTTTTGTTCAGTCACAATCGCAGATTTATTGTTTCTTCCTCGCTCGATGGAACTGTTAGAGCATATGATTTAACTAGATATAGAAATTTTAAAACTTTGACATCTCCACGACCAGTCCAATTTAGTTGTGTAGCAATAGATTCAAGTGATGAGTTCGTTGTAGCAGGTGGTCAAGACTTCTTTTATATTTACTTGTGGAGTATTAAATTAGGTACTTTATTAGAGGTATGTCTAAATTAAAAAAAAATTATCTACTAAAAATCTTGACTATTATAAGATTCCTCTATTATATTAATTTTCTTTTTCAGATATTAGGTGGTCACGAAGGACCCGTTGTAAGTTTAGCTTTTAATCCAAGCCCTGCCAGCACAGAATTGGTATCAGTCTCCTGGGATAAAACATTAAAAATATGGAATGCTATTGAAAATGGTTCTATGCATGAGACGATACAATTAACTGCTGATGGTTTATATGTTACTTATAAACCTGATGGCGAGGAAGTTGCAGTATCTACTTTAGATGGACAAATTTCATTTTTCCATTGTAAAACTGCAATGCAAACGGGCAGTATTGAAGGTAGAAATGATTTAGGTAGTGGTAGATCCGAGATAGATATGATTACAGCAAAGAAAACTTTACAAGCCAAGTATATAAATATATTTTGTTATAATACGATTTAAATCATTCCTATAATTATGAATTTAAATACTATATTGCAAATGATATATATTTTAGAGCGTTTACTTCTTTGTGCTATTCTGCTGATGGTTCGTGCATATTAGCTGGTGGACAATCTAAAAACGTATGCATTTATAATGTTAAAGAAGCAATACTTTTAAAAAAATTTGAAGTTACACAGAATAGGTCTTTGGATGCAGTAGATGTATGTATTATTTTGAATTATTTAATTAAGTTTTTAATATAATATTCTTTAATCGAAGAATCTTTTTTGTTTTTTGCCCCCTTTAAATAGGATTTTATAAATAGACGAAAAATGACTGAATTTGGAAATATAGCTCTGGTCGAAGAACGTGAAGAAAATGAAGGTGGTAACGTAACATTACGTTTACCAGGTGTTAAAAGTGGTGATATGGCTAGTAGAAGTATGAAACCAGAAGTGAGAGTCTTTAGTTTACAATTTTCTCCAACAGGTAAATTTAACATTAAATACAATATAACATATGTTTAAATTCATGTTATTAAAATATATTATTTAGGACAAGCGTGGGCAGCAGCAACAACTGAAGGCTTGCTAATATATTCATTAGATGTTGATTTTATATTTGACCCATTTCAACTTGACCTTAAGATCACTCCTGATACTATAAAAGAAACACTTGCTAAAGTGGAATACACACAAGGTTTGTATTATTAAACGCAACATACGCAACATACGTAACATACATTACTCATTATAATGTTAATTAAAGTAATTAATATATTCTTTTTATTTTTCAGCGTTAATGATGGCCTTGAAACTGAATGAAAAATCTTTAATAAGACAAGTCATTGAAACTATTCCATATACAAATAGTAAGACTATTTTATATTAATATATAATATATGAAATAAAAATTTATTATCATACACTTTATATATATTTAATATTTTAGTTGAACTGATCGTACGAAATTTAGCTGATATTTATCTAGAGAAGACATTGAAATTTATAGCAGTCGAATTAGAATCAGCAAAGCATATACATTTTTATCTTTTATGGATAGAAGTGATATTAAATAATCATGGACACAAAATGAATACAACATTTCAAATTCCGTTACTATTAATGTTACAGAAAAATATGCAAAGAAAGTACGACGACTTGAGTTCGATGTAAGTTGAATTGAATTTTTTAATAATATATAATCTTAACAATACAAAAATATCGCTATAATAATTTGTTATTGCAGATGTGATTTTAATCAATATACAATAAGTTACATAAAAAAAATGGGAGAAATAAAGGCTGCTAAATCTAAATTAAATGATAGTGTAGCTACGATTAACGGATCATCCGATACTTCATTTATAATGGAAATGGATACTGATTGATAATAATACGAGTATAATAATTTTAAATGTGTATATAAAAAATTTATATGTGAAGTAAAAACATATATATATATATATATTTTTTTTGTTTTTTTTTGTATTAAATACTTATAATGTTTCTTAATATATATTTTATTTAAGAAAATTAAGCTTTATGTAGACAACATTATATATAGATTATATCATTAGAGTATATATAATAATCCAAAATTTACATAGAGATATGTTTATACAGATTGCATTTATAACAACGTGAACATATGCTAACTGCGCCAAAACAAAGTCAATTAATACTGAAAAGAGTTGATTGACATTACATTAAATAAATTTACTATATTATGCTGCTTTCTTTAGCAAAAGTATAGGCCAATATAAAACGACGAATAAAAGAAAAAGAATAGGAAATCCAATTCTGCTATAACGATCTATTTGTTGTGATCGTGTCCGATAAGGAAATAGAGATGATGTTTCAAGATCAAGCCATGTTTGTAGAAGATGTTTGCTGCCTGCTCGATTGTTCTTTGATTTTATTGTATATATGGTATCATAATCCCAGAATTCAGAATTTTGACTTTTGTCCGCCATAACTAATCGCTGAATAATAACAGATAAATAACACCTCGATAATAATACTAATATAACGATAATACAAACTTAATGCGTGATATGTTAAATCATATATTTTTAATTCTATAGAAAATAGAAGAACAATATCGTATACAAACCGTTTGAAAGCTCCGAGGTACAATTGACGATTGTATATCGTTTACACATTGATAACGTAAATCAAGCACTTTGACTATTACAAATTCTCCCAAAGCAGCAAATACGAACATCATGCAACCAGCCATCCAAAGATCAAGTGCCTAGAAATTTATAATATAGTTTATTTTATTAAATGAGATATCAACATCGTTCATTCGCGAAAATGATTAAGAAATATGACTCAATTAAAAAATCATATATTTATTATCACAATTAATTTTGTTGGAAGTTTCTATAGAAGAGCTTCACACATTCGACAATCTGTCGAATTCATAATGCAAATTATGTTAAAGTTTTTAAGCCGGAAGTTTGTTTAATAATATTGAAGTTACTTTTGAATCATTGTTTAATCTGTATATTTATTTAAGATATCCGTTTTTGGTTGCACTAATAACTTAAAAAAATTTTTAAACAGTTTAAAGAACACATTCGGAAGATATAACTGTTTAAAAGTATTAAAATCTTTTCAGTGAATTATTGATATTTTTTACTATTCATCTTTGTTTGATACTCAATCAATTTTCGTTTCTTACTTACAAATATTGATAATCGTTGATGAAAGAACTATTAGAATTTTTTAAAACAGTCTAATAACATGGATCTTGTTCTTCATTAAACCATAATGTATTAAAGGAAACATTTATTTTGTTCGAATATTACATCCACAGTATGATTGTAGAGTTGAATTTTATTTTATAACTCTGAAACGAAAAGTTTCCCGAAGATGTAATTTATACTATTTAAAATTGATAAAGTGATTATCTTCTATAGAGTTTTTTTTTATTAAAATTTGAAGATAATTTTTTTGGATATTACAATTTTCCTGAATTTTTCACTGAGTTATGAAAACTAAAAAAAAAAAAAAGAAAAAAAAAAATGTGTAAAAAGAAAGTTAACTTAAAAAAATTGTAAAAATGAAAAGTGATGTATCATTCAAAAGCTTAAATTTATTATGATCTTTTTGCCACAAGAATCAGGTCGATATTTTTTTTTTTTTTTTCAGTTAAAAGTTATAGTCTCTAAAAAATTTTGCTAAATATATGTACTTTTCCATTTTTTCAAGGCCTATAAAAAAGTAAGAGCTGGGAATCAATGACCTATATATGAATCTAGGAATATGCATGCAAACTTTCAACAAAATTAATTGGAGGTGAAAACATATAGTTTTTGAATAGAATCCTTTTCATGCAAGTACTCACTTTCACATAGGCAACCGGAGGTATGTCACTTTTCAAGCCAGTAAACATCGTCACCAAAGTAAGCATACTCGTTACTAAAAGAGCGACACGTCCTGGTATCGCATCTAAATCCAACCAAAAGCTGAACCAGGAAAACATTACGACTAATGTCGATGGAGCAAACGTTTGTATTAAATGATGTCCTATTTGTCTCTCAAATCGGAATAAAACCACCAACCTTGAGAAATTTCCTATACGATATACGATTAATTCTATGTAATGTATTTTCTTTTTTTTTTTCTATTCCTATTGAATTTCGAATCTAGCCTATGGTCGAAATTATTTGTAGAAAAAACTAAAATAACTTACCATTCTTTTCCATCATGTAATGGGTAGTCTCTTCGAAGACAACTGGTTTTCCTATATTATATTGTAACAATTTTAATTCAGGATTAACTGTTACACCGTTATCGTCCCATCTCAATCGTAACTTTTGACTATTATAAGAAACTGCAAAGATAATTTTTCGATAATGTTCGAGATAAAATATTTAATAAGTTCATTGATATTTTACTTACAACTTTCCACGTAGATCGGACAAACTTGTATGTCCATAGGATAAAGTTGAAATTCCATTTGGCATGCTATAATTGCGTGCATTCGCGCGGAATATCGGACGGTTTTATTTCTGTAGAGTGTGACCGATGAGAATTTGTGGTTTAAGGTAGCGATCTCTGCGAGACATTAGTGCCGCATTAACACTTGTCACAGTGTAGGAATCACTTGAGCGAGCAATAATGGCAAATGGAAGACGATATCTCGAAACAGGTACTACACGCGAACTGCTAATTTGATCGAAGCGTCAATCGGCAATGACATAAATATATAAATTAGCAAAGCAAGCTGATGATATAATTACCGGAGACTTTTGAATTTAGAAAATAAGGATCAGGCTGCCAAAGATTATCATAGAATTCTGATGGAAAAATAACATAATCGTCTCCTTCCTCGAAGATATCATCGAGCATATAAAGTCGTGACTCGGTCCAGCTTTGACGAATGAACATGTCGACCCTATAAAATGAAAAATAAATCATTGTTCCGAATGATAATATCAAATGAATCTAAAAGGATTATTTGAATTTGTCGACTCATGTAAATTTAATGGTTCACCTAAAATCCATATCCTCGACGTTAATGGAATTGATATCCACGACAAAAATACTGAAGTCAACTGTCACTGGGACACCCTTCTTTGATGGCGGTCGAATCTCTTTAATAAAATAAATAAAACAAATATCTCTGATCGAATTTTAAAATGATAATCGATTTTAATTATATATTACAAACCTTTCACGTAATTATTTGGCAATACGACTCTTGGCTTCATGGTACGATTTTTGACACTTCCTCTAAAAATACTGAAATTAGATCAAACAAAATCTCTCTCTCTCTTTCTCGCTTTCTCTTTCTCTCTCCCTCTCTATCAGAAAAATCAAATGATTTCGAGAGAAATAATTATTCCGAAAAAAAAAAGAAAAAGTAAAGAAAATAAGATTGAAAAGATTACTTAGCGGAAAATACTTCTGGGAAGGGGCTCAAACAAGAGTGAAGAAAAACTATTAGAATCGTGCTCTTCATCTTAGAAGTTTAGAGAACTGTCAATGTTTTTCGATCGACATTTCAAGTCAACTTGAAAGGAGTTCCAATTAATCTATTAACAGGTCACTTATATGCAATCTATTTTAATTACAGATATAGTTGTACACTTCGACGTAGCAATTATTTTGTTGCATTATGTAAGAGACAGATCCTATTCTTGCGTTGATAGTAAAAAGTAGAAAGAAAAGAAAAAAAAAAAAAAGAAAAAGAAATGTAAGATACAAAAGAAGATCCATTGATCAGGGGTTAGCAATATGGCGAATAGCCGCACCTATTGTATTATTATAATCCTGACAATATTTACAAATCTGACAAAAAGTTTTCCATCAGTCCTCATTCTCAGTAATATGAAATCGACTAAAAACTGTTTATGTTTTATAGTTATAAAATACTATTTTATGTTTGTAACTAATGTTGTTGAAAGTAAATGACATTTCGTTATATAAGCAATAATGGTATATTAGAAATTATTATTTATTATTCAAGTGAAAAAAATAAATTGTATGAGAAAAAATTTTTGATCAAATTTATTGATATTGACATTTTTCAAGAAATAACGTCACATTAATATTTTGTTATATTTTCTCGTGTCCGTATAATACCTTTGATACCTGATCTTTGATAAAAGAAATTAGATTTTTCCGTGAATCCGCGAATGAAATTTTTTTTCTACGATAATCTTATGGTTTCTCAAACTTTATTTTTGAACTTTTTTTAATGAACTAATTTCTTAAATTTTCTTCATAAGTTTTGAATTAGGTATCGTGACTGTTCGCAGGCCATCGTATTGCTTTTATACTGTTCTGTTGTAAAAAATGTTTTATTACTTTATTCTGACGATGGCAACTGCCATTATTTTAAAAAAGAAGAAAAAATATTCCGAATCTCAAAATATTTGGATATTTTGTCTTTTTCTCTTAAATTTGAACATTCTTTGCAAAATTTCATCAGATTTTTGCCGAACAAACGTTCTTCCGTTATCTATAGTCAATATGTACCTGACTCGTCGCTGAAAATTATTTTCAACCAATTCTCCATTGTTCATTTTACATATTTTTTACACCACAATGACCGTCTCTTTTTATGTTCTTTCGCGAAGAAAAATTTAATGGATTAATCGATTTCTAACGGTACGATTAAAAACGTTCTGTGGCCACTTCTCATTAATTCGTTTTGAAGTAACACGTTTCATATTTTTAAAGAATTGCATGGAATTTTTTGTTATCTCGTTATACGAGAACAATCACATCGTTTACGATTAGATACGCTACTTGTTACATTGTACTTCTTTATCAGATAACTGATGATGCTTTAACTATAGGAATTATTCTTCTTTTCATATCGTTTGAGTTATGCTGAAGTGGTGCCATCTCTTTTTATTTTGTATGATAAATTAAAAATTTTCTTCAGCATTGAATACACTAATCAATTGTTATCAGATGTAACTTAAAATTGACATTTTTGTGATACACTTAATAGATTCATTGAGATTATTGTTCGAGCCATTATCAAAAACTTTTGTTTCAATATTTCCATCGATCGAAAATTTTTTTCCATATAATATTTCATTTGTTATCTTGTTTCTTCTTAATAATAAATAATAATTTCTAATGTATCATTATTATTTATCCTTTTTAATTTCTCATTAATTTCAACATTATAATAAAATATTTTATAATTGTTAATCATAATTCTCAATATTGACAAATGATAAATTATATATTACTAAATCTGATTAAAAAGACAATTTGTCGGGGATTAGAATCGAGATTTCCTGTCGTTCTCATTGATAGAATCCAAGAAAAGACAATGGTACATATTTCTACTATACTGGGCTTAGACATCACGTGCCTTTAAAAGTCGACCTCAATCGATGACCTCGATGAGTCCTCTATATTTTTATTATTCTCTTTCTTAATTTTTTGTTTTCTCTTATTCCTTGTAAAACATCTCGGACAGATGCCCGAAGTCAACCGAAATCAAAATTCCGTTATAATATCCGTTCAGATGAAAAATAAGAATTTATTTCTTGGTGAAACTTTTAAAGGATCCAAAACGATCGCCTTTCTCACGATCCATCGGCCATATTGACTCTTCTGTATCTTGCCTGGAGCTATTTTATAAGGTCTACTACGTAAAGTTTCTATGTGGCACTAACGTATTGGCAACGACCAGGATATATTCCATCTAGTTCACTTTATGAATTTCTGAAATAAATTATTCGACATTAATAACATAAAAATTAATTTTAATGCAAACGATCTTTAATAATCAAGAAATAAGTTTTTTTTCTTTTTATCATTTATATAATTTTGTTCTTTTCGTTTCTAATCGTTGATATTCTTGATGATCAATCGAATGGTTGATTAATATTCAGAGATTTAAAATTTACGATTTTGTAAAGTCATTAATTCTTTCCTTTCTTTTTTTTTTTCCTGATTTATGTTTCATAAGTATACTGTTATTCTGAATTTGTTTGATTTTTTTTTTTCTAACAACTAGGACATCGTTCCTCAAAGAAAAATATGATAAACATATTGTAGAATAGACACCATAATCATTCATGATTATCAACATTCTCGTCGAAATAGTTATTGAATGGGTAGGAGGGGGATACATAAATAGTGTTCCGTTCGTTGGAATGTTACGGAGCTTGGTGTAGAAAGTTCACTCGCCCGATGATTTTCTTCTCATGTATTGCCCCATTTACATAGGTCTCTCACACAAGAGAGTAATCTATTCAACAAATGAAGTTAAGAATGCAAAACGTCGATTTAGAAATCACAATGAGTATGTATATTTGATATTTAACCCTTTAAATGAATATAATCAAAAAAGTAATTATCCGAGCAAATGCCTGATCACTTTTAAAACTTTATTGATCATTAAGTCATTAAGTTTAATTATGTTATCAGTAATATAAAGTATAAATTATATCTTATATCTATAGAGATAGGACAAATTATAATGATTGTGAATAAAAAGAAAATATATAAAGCTTTAGTATAAACTTAAAAGGGTAAAAAGATTAATCATTTCTGAGATATAAACGTCTTGTCACGATTGCGATTTTGATAAGTACACAATTACAAGATAATATCCTGAAAATGTCGGTGTATTATTTTAATGAAGAAATAAATGATATTTTATTATAATATGGTCGTTCTAATGAAAATGCTATATAGCTATACAACGTCTTTAAATGAAAAATTATTCTAATCGAACGAAATTTTTTTTTTTCGAATACTTTGTATAATATATATTTAAAAATCTATCTTTGTAATGTTTTCTTCAATGTAATTGTAAAAAGAAAAAAAAAAAAGAAAAAAAAAAAAAAGAAATTAACATAATCTGATTATGACACGTATAATACAAATAAATGTGTTTTGTAAGTTTTTTTCTACAGAATATTTTATCGATCATAAAATTATCATTTAAATATTATGTAATATCTAATTTATATGGACATAAAGTTATTCGATATAAATATTTCATAGAGAACAAATTAAATGACTTTGTGGTTCAAGTAAGAAAAAAAAAACAAATCCCTAAATTAAAGACTAACGAGAATATATTTCTTATTTTATATATATATATACATATATATATATATACATATATATATATATACATATATATATATATATATATATATATATATACTTCTTTTACTTAAGTAATCATGTCGGTTTCTATATACTTTGATTGTGATTTATTTTAAATATTTAAAACATATAGGAGAGAGAAAATGCACATGCGCACGCATGCGTATTCGCATGAATTGCCCATCGAACGAACATCGTCCACGTTTAAATCGTATATCTAAATACAATATTTTCACTTGACAGTAAAGTCATATGACGTTTGTTAATGACATTTTCCTCTTTCCTTACTTTTCTTATCGACACTGAAATGAAATTTTTTTTCTTAAAACGTTTTTACAGTAATATAAATCGAAAAGAGAAACACTCGAAAACACACGTACTCCTTATTCTTTTTTTTCAAAACATTGTAAACTGTAACGATTATGACTTTACTCTTGGAAAGGAAAGCATGCATTAAACAATGACTTTCACGATAATGAACGAATAATAACTTTTTTTTCTTATTTTTTCTTTTTTGTTTTTTTTTTGTAATAAGGAACATGTAGATTGGTTTAACAACGAAATGAAGAAAAAAAGGATAGAAAAAATAAATGTTCAATATCGGAAATGACGTAAGAAGAAAACGATCAATAAAAATTATAAAAATTATTCTTCCTCGTTTCACGTATCAATGTATAAAATATTAAATTAAATCTTGAAAATTTGAAAATCAATCGTTAAAACGTGGAAAGTCCTGTATGTATATACGATTAAGAGTGCAGATTTCTTCTCGTAAATTTTCATTTTCGTCGTGTCTAATGTTCGACGAACCGTGAACTCTCGAGTACACTCAGGTGCATTTCTGTGTTCATTCATGAAAACGAAAAGAAGATCAACGAACTTACAACGTGTCCTCTTTTCATATCTCTCTTCAACCTGTTAATAGAGAAAAAGGAGTAGTCATGAAAATTTTTTTCGTGATAAAAAAAAGAATATTATTTGTCACTCCTATTATAAAAACCATTACTTATATTCTTTCAATTTTTTAATTTTTTGTTTACAATCTATTAATTTATCGAAATGAATTTATCGAAACTCTATGTTTTTTTTTTTTCATTCGTAGCATTTTATTCTTAATAAAAATAATAATAATACGAAATAATTGATATGAAATAATTTGGCAATTATTTAATAATAATAATTGAAATAAAAATATAATAAAATTCGTGGATTCACGTTTACCGATTGAAAATCTCGAGTTAACAGGTTAACAGGGTAACGTTACACGATCGAATTCGATGATAGAGCTGCAAGAGACACCCCTCGAGGGTTGTATTGATTTCTATGATGGCGGCTAGCCGGCGCCCGCCACCCTCGCAGTTCGTCGGGAAAACCGAAGAAACGTTAGCTCCGTCTTGCTTTTTAATTGGTGTCATGGAAATGAAACGTTACCTTCTTAAATTATAACAATTTATCAGCGAATAGTTCGGGAAATATTTTTTTTTTTTCCAATCAACAATTTTGACTTTTCGTTGTCAAGAAGTCTCGTGTTCTTTTTCTTTTTTTTTTTCTTCTTTTTTCTCGAGGCGTTTGTCCTGGTCATTCACATCGAGAAAAGTTCGTAAGAAAAGCGAAAATAAAAACGAAAGATAGAAATTTGATGACGGATCGTTTGATATATTTTAATGACTTTTACATTTAAAAAAAACAAGTGTCTAAACTCCAACCAGTGTCAACTGATTTATATTAATTAAATAAATACGAGCGAGATAAAGAAACACAATCATGACTGTGGAGTGTTGCTCGAATTCGATTGAAAAATATCGTTCATTTATTTTGCGTGTGAACAATCAAGACATCTACGTGAATTAATGGAATTCATATGATCGGTATTCCTTGAAAACTCGAAGTTTCGATAGTGCGATTACATGTAAGTATCATCATGATTTCGTCGATTTTTTCTTTTTTTTCTTTCGTTTGTTTGTTTATCTTTTTTGGTTTCTCTTTTATATTTTAGAAATTCGATGACATTAATATTAATTCGAAAACTTATCTTATGTAATAAGACATCCTCGTTATCGATAATTTCACGTGGCCAAGAAAAACGTGTTGGTAAGACAGATGTGTACTATAGACGCGTTTTAATTAAGTTCTTAGAACGTTTGGAGTAATAAGAAGGGTGCTCGAAAAAATATACGGCATTTTTTTTTTTCTGAAAGAAAATTATGCACAATAAAAAGTTACGTGTGTGATTCAAAGTCCTTTTTTTGTTTGTAAGTATCTCTTCTATCTCTCTCTCTCTCTCTCTCTTTCTTTCTCTTTTTCTTTCTCTACCACCACTCTATCCTTTTTTCTCCCTCTATAACTTTCACCCGGATATTATCAACATTTGTGTATCTTATACGTAGATGCTTTCTCGTGAGCGTTGCTTTGAATCTACGCTGGGTCGATAATGAAACGGATGAGACACGAAAGTAAATTCACATCATCAAGTTCTTCTAGGATATTTTAACTCTTTCACGTGTCATGATGCGATAGAGTTGCCATCTGTTTGTCTTCGTTGATCGGATCAAGAACAAATGAAAGGAATTGATTTTTTTCTATCTTTTCTCTTGTTTCTATTTTTTTTTTTTTTTTTTTTTCATTAAATTAATCACAAGTTTAATAACGACAAAAAAAAATTATCTATTTAAGTTTTGTAGAAATCAATAAATTCATTTAATATCTTTCCATTTTTTCTTTCTTTCTAGATAAAAAGAATTTGTTTCTTTATACAGAAAGAACTAATGCTTTTGTAAATATTGTCATATCGTTGTTTATATTAGACTTTTATTAACAGGTATACTTTTTCTTCATTTAAATGTTATTCATTTAAGAAATCTTGAAAAAGTTTTAAATAAAACTTATAAAATTGAGTATTGGTCTTCATTGCGTAGAATTTAATTTGTTGAATAAAATTGAATGACGCAATAAAAGTCATCCGTAAAAATATTTATTCGTATTAGTGCACGAGCTTTGAAAAAAAGAAAAAAAGAGAGAGAGTTAAAAAAAAGAAAAAAAAACAAAGGAACAAAAGAAATTAAGAAATCTTTACAAATCTTTACGAATTTTTACAAATTTTACTTTTGAATATAACAGGTGAATCGATTAATAAAAATTGTATGAACTATTGATGTATATTTACTTATTGAGGATTTCACGTTATCGTGTTTTCGTAATAAATCTTTCAATTAAAACTCATACATCGATCAATATCGTTTCGTAGAAGTATGAAAGCTCCATTATAAGCAACCTCAATATTCTCGTTCTACCTGAGAGATTCCACTTTCGCTTGCTTCTTCTTTCAAGCTACATATACAAACATAGACACACCGGATATATTAGTCAAAGTGGTCTTAATCCGAGAGAAATCTTCTCTGTGTAAGGAGATATTCACGAGTTAAAACAAACGATAATAAACAACAAAGGTAATAAATGATGTCATTTCTCTTTAACGTACTCGTAACAAATCGTAGGTGATAATTCGCGGTTATCGTGTAGAACTCACGGCTTAATTTGAGGATTGTAAAATCGTTAGATCGTCAAATACCGTTTGGAAATTTTATCAATATTTTTCAAAAGGGCACATGACAAGGAAGAATGTTTGAAATTGCACGATCGTAACATTTCATTTTTCACGGATAGAATTACTTTTGCCATATTTTTAACGATCACGCACGACGCGCGCCTATCTGCACATGTAAGTATTATATTTTTAAAATCATTTTAATTAGAGAAATGTTGTTTTGCAATTGTAATCAGCAAAGATATATATATATATATATATATATATATATATATTAACAATTTATAATACAATGTCACAGTGGAATTTTCTGTCATTTGTAATTATTTAATTGTAAAATTTTTAAAATGTTTACATTAAAAATATTCCATTATATATTATATCTTAGAAAAGGTTATTATTATACTTACAAGAAAATTGAGAAACATTAAAGTGCTTATAGAAAAAACTGACACTGTCAGCAGATACGTTTTTAATGTATAGCAATTTGTAGCGCATATATATATACACACACACACACATATATATATATATATATATATATATATATATATTAGCATTAAATTGTATTTATATTAGTTATATTGTACTAACAAGAAAGGGGAAAAAAAATATATTGAAATAGATACCGATCGAAGAAAAAGAAAAAAGAAAAAAGAAAAAAGAAAAATAACACTCTTACAGTAACGTTTTTCTTTCTGATTGGCGAAAACGACACGAAACGGAAGGAAAGAAAGAAAGAAGGAATCATTCGATCAAAGAAAGTTGTTATCGAGGAAAGGTGTGAATCTTTGCTGAGTACTCGAGTTGCAATTCGTGGGCGAGCATATCCCAGGCCTAGACATTGACCTCGAAAGCGAAGAGTATCCTTTGGTTCAGTACAGAGACACCATTACCACGACTATTACCACCACCATTACTGCCACCACCACTATTGCCGCCACCACCATCGTTATTACCACCACTACTGCTCATCATCATCATAATCATCGTAAGACGAGATCTGACGTCAGCTATAGGATCAGCGGTACGTGAATTTTTGAAGCGTCATTAAAAAGGTCACAGGTTGTTTTGTAAAAGAAAGAAGAGAGAAACGAAAGAGAGCGAGAGAGAGAGAGAAAGAGAAAAAGATTGAGAGAGAGAGAGATAGAGAGAGAGAGAGAGAGAGAGAAAGAGAAGTTTAAAGTAATCAAATCAAAATCGTACGTGGTATTTATATAACGTCAAACTTTTATCATAATAATTATATATTAATTACTGATTCTTAACGAAGAATGTCATTCTTAGCGGCTAATTTATTTTTTCATCTGTTCATTATCGCCGTTGTAACTTCTAAACGATCGATTATCTTATCGGTTAGCTAAAATAAAATTTCTATTATTCGCACTGCTTACTGTTCATTTTATTATCCGTAATTCTTGTTTTCTCATTAGGGAAAAGAAAAAGAAAAAAAAAAAAAAAACGATTCTCGTAGAATGATCGTAAGAAGATTTCTGTTTGATTATTCGCATATATATTTGCTGTTATAACTCGATAGTATTAACGTCTGTGTAGTTTATCTCTCTTTATGGAAAGCGAAACTTAATAACCACTAGATACCGAAGAGGATGTTGGTTGAGAACGGTGAAACCGATCGTCGAGTGATCACCAGTTTCTATTCTCTTTCGCTAAAAACAACTCGTTTCCATTCGTGAATCAGCTTTGCATACCAGAAAATAGATAAGATGAATTTTTTTTTTATGCTACTTGTTAATCGTCATTGATTACAATTTTATTAGATTATATACGATCGATATATTTTATTATACTTTCCAGCACATAGAAAATTAATGAACTCGTTCGCTTTGATACTTCATGAAAATTACTGTTACTATCTTTAGGATTTTATTCTTAGGGAAATAAAATCATTATCCACTAATATATATTCGCGAGAACGTATAAAAGAGTACCCATGATATTATCTTATTCGAAGATTCATCATAATTTAATTCATAATTTGTATTCTTTTTAATGAGATTTCGAAATGATAAGTAATTTATCTTTCGATTATTAATCAATATGATTATTATTTATTTTCATATTTTCATTTTATGTAATATTTATTACTTTTCTTCTTTTTCGATAAAATCACGTATTGAACATGTCACTAATAAAAATGTATCTATGATCGAGATGACTATATATCTGGTTTATCGATCTGAGAGATTCGTTGAGAGAAAGGCAGTACAGACTACTCTCTATCGAGTAACTTTTTCTTTCGTTTCATCCTACCATGAAGTATATACCTAACAAATATTGTTAATATGTATTTTGAAAAAGCTGTTTCACTCATCTCAATTATTTAAATATCTATTGAAATTTATTCTAATTGAAATTATTTCAAATTCTCCAAAAGTTTCCTATGAATTTCTTTTTAGAATCTTTAAAATATCTAACACAAAATACGTAATGCTCATTTCAAATTTGACGAATTTTAGATCTTCCTTTTTTTCATTGAGAAAATTTGAATAATAAATTCGCAATAAAAACAAATCCATTTAAAATTTTTATTCTTAAGTTTTTCATGCTTGGACATTCGAAGAATCGAACGCGGAGCACGAAATAAAATTGAGTTTATTTCAAATTTGAATCTTCAATCTTTTCGCGCTAAAACGTTTGAAATATCAACTCGATAAATACAATGAAGTTACGTTCTTTCGAATATCTATTGTTTCCGAGTAAAAATTGTTGAAATATTTTCTTGGAAACGTTCGCTCGTAGAAATCATTCATGCAAGAAACGGTAAATGGTCTTTGAACGTTTACGAGCTTCCTCAACTGCACAGTACATTTTTTTTCTTTTTGATATAACATGATTATCTATCGTATCGTTTCGAAAAAAAAATAAAAAAATAAAAAAGATGAATAGGCCAAGAAATAGGTTTTATAAATATATGTATCCAATTTTCAGTAAAATTATTTAAATATTACCGAACGTCTTATAATTCTCATAAAAAATTGAATATTTATTCAATGGTGCGAGCTCACTTCTTGGAAACTATCCGGTACTGTGTAAATATTTAACTTGATCAAGCCAAATATTATTTCATTAAATTTTAACTAAATTAACATCTCGCAACAATTCGTTTCCGATGACGTCAAAGTGTTTCAGCAATAGTTCGATAATAGACGATAAGAGAAAATAAGGACGAAAAGATCGATGATAAATGTTGCAAAATTCTTTTCTAATTTATATTTCATTAATACATTTATACTAAAAGGATGATTGAATTCATAAGAGTATCATTGATTACATTTTATCGGCTACTAATTGCGAAGTCATTAACCATGAATCATTCGACGACTAATCGCAGTCCCGTATTTGCGATCATAATCATCTCCATCGAACAGATTCATGAGTCAGCAGAAACAGTTGACAGATAGCAATTGGTTAATACGAAGTGACAAAAAAATCAAAGTTACGATCGAAAGTTCATTTTTCGAAATGAACGTGCACGTTCATAGTCGTTATAATGAACGATATCGGAGTTACGTTTAATCTTATCGGGGAAGTACGTTAAATTTCATAGTTTATTATCTTTACTTCAAGTAGAAATGAGAGACAAGGAAAGATAAATATTGAACAAAAAACAATGGAAAGAAAATAAAATAAAATAATAAAAGATTAGAAAATTAGAAGGAGATTAAAGGAAGATTAGAACATTATAAAAGATCGAAGAGAAAAAAGGAAGCAAATAAAAAAAGAAAGAAAGAAAGAAAAGAAAAAGGCGAAAGATTAGAAAAGTTAGAAAAAGCAATTCAAGAAAGTCCGTGTACTAAATTACCTCCTTGAATTACTGTCAAAGCTTACTGTCACCTGGATCCCTGACGAAAATAGAGAGTGTAACGTCGACTCTAACACGATAAACGAGGTCGCGCGCAACGCGTCGCCATTTCTCATCTCATCGATTTGAAAAGAGTCAAGACAGGAGGGTACACACATACATTCTACTTTTAAGAGAGAAGGATGCGTTATTCATGCAGGTGTTTTCCGTCCATCTACTCAAACGACCTTAAGATGTTTTCGAGTGCATAATGATGAAGTTTTAGAACCTTGACCATCATTATCTTTCACATACCAAACATTCAACAAAGTTTATACGATTTTCCGGAGCACTTTTCTTTCTTTCGTATTTTATATATATATGCGTCTGTGTGTATGTGTGTATGTAACTTTGATTTATATCATCGTATAAATTTAATACCTCAATTTTACTGCTAGAACTATCAAACGGTACGTAATATCGAGAGCAATGCTTTTATTTATTTTTTTTTCCTTCATTTTTTTACAAAAAAATTAGACTTTCCTTTCTTTCTCTTTTCTCGTTTCTTCCGTTGTTCTTTGTTCTTTGTTCTTTTTCTTTTTACTTACGAACGAATAACATATAAACAAGATATTCTTTTTCTCCCTTTTATTATTTAATAATAATATTCGATTGCCATCGAATTCTAAAAATGCAACATGCCTCATTACCACGATGACACGTTTGTACTCTTTAAGCAAAGTGTGACACTTTCCAAACTTCCATGAGATTATCATAACCAGCCCACAGCAAAGTCACTCTTTCGAAACATAAACACTTACATTCGATCGTTCATGTACCCTATTATTTTTCTAATAAGTCTTCAAAAATCCCATAGAGATAGATTTCATTCATAAATTAATTAATAGATCAATAATGTATTTATTAATGGTGTTCATTGATTTTAGAAGATCATGATATTATATTCTTTCGATATTATGACACTTGATACAGCTATTATATCATTATATCATTATATCATTATATTATTTCCAATAATGTTTCTTCGTACAATGTTATTTTCTCTTCCTTTAACGAAAAAATAAAATATAATAATACTAATATAGAACCGTTAAAATTTGCGAACATAAAATCGAAAGAAACCGATCGTTCTCCCGTAGAAAAAAGAGAAGTACGTTTAAATGAAAGTTTCCTCCGAGCCATCCATGATTCTCTTTCGATTGTAACTAGATCTCCACTAAGTATATATATATATATATATATATATATATATATATACATATATATATATATGTGTGTGTGGATTATTTTAAAAATAAATTGCAAAAATTTCAGAGCATGTTTTACTTCTACACTGTAAGAATAAAAAAAAAGAAGTCATCTAAACATAGATCCGGAAATGTTTTCTTTCCAAGTTATAAATATTTTTTATATTCAACAAACAATATGCTTCCTATCGAGAAATTCATGTTGCGATTTCGTTGCGAAGTACGCATTAATGCGAAAAGAAATCATTTTCAACATATCCTGAAATAAGATTTGTTGATAGCAATTTCAGATGTTCTTCAAGTCCATTATTAATAATAAAATGTTTACAACATAGAAAAAAAGTGTTTCCGGAATCATGTTCATACAACTTTTTTTTTATTCTCACAGTCGGGTAGAATATACTATTAAAGTTTGATGGTCTATTTCTGGAACACACATACACACACACACACACACGCACACATATATATATATATATATATATATATTCTATATGTGGTTGACACTATTTCGAAACAATATTCAGGAACGATGATCTCTCAAATATGTATTTTCTAAAGTATATAAATAGGTATATATTTTTTTTTATTTTAATTTATATTTTATATTTATATATAATAATTTATATTTTCTAAAGTATATAAATAGGTATATTAGGATTGTTCTGCTCGAACGATTCGATTTTTTAGATCTTTTAGATCGAATCGAGGATAAAGAAATGAAAGAAAATACTATTCATCTTTTTTTTAACAAATAACAGGTGTCATATACGTATACATACATACACACACACACACACACACACACACACACACATATATATATATATATATATATATATATGTATATACATATATTAAAATAAAAATACAGATGTCAATTTTGTGTACGTATTGTGTTACGAAACGAATGAATTAAAAAGAAAAGATTTCAAAGAACACTGGATTGAAACGAGATCAGTATGGTTTCCTTTGAAAGAAATCTTCGAAGTGGTATAGGTCAATGAAGAAAATGACATGGGAATTTGTTGTTAGTTATTCTTTTCTTTTTAATCGAATCGATTTGTCTTATCGACTTGTCTTATCGTTCTTTTTTACTCTCTCTTTCCCTTTTTCTCTCTCTCTCTCTCTCTCCCTCTTTCTCCCTCTCCATCTCCATCTCTCTCTTTCTCTCTCTCTCCCTCCCTCTTCATTTCTCTTTCTCTCTCTGTCTCTTTCTCTTTGCTCTCTTACCTTCTTTTGACCCTGAGAACGAAATAAAAAGAGAAAATAAAATCAAATAAGCAGAAGGATGAATGAGTATCACGATCTCTTGCTCTCTCTCTCTCTTTCTCTCTCTCTCTCTCTCTCTCTCTCTATTTCTCTTTTTCTCATTCGTTTTTATCTCTTTTTATTGATACCGTTTCTTTTGAATATTGAGAAAATACAACATGGTAACCCAGCTTCCAGTTGACTCCATCTAGACACATATATATCTTCGGTAAACGGTCCAGAATCTTATTTGACTGAGTAAAATATACAGAAACAGGTTTCTCGTCTTGACTTTCGAGTTTTCATACTTTTCGTTAGAAATTCATTCGAGTATTTGACAGCTTTTTTTTATTTTCCAATTTCATCTCATTTATCTTTTCATCGTATTAATTTTATTATTCGATAATTATTAATTTATTATTATTTATTTTTTTTTGTTTTATTTTTTCTTTCTTTTTTTTTAAACAGTTAATAATATACGATTTAAAGAAAACCGAAAGCGTACATAAGTTTTTCTTACACTGAAATCGATCGTCTCAGGTCGGTCAACTTAAGAAGGAGAAATTAATGACTTTCTTTTTTCTCATATCTTTATGCCAAGAGATTATAGATAACACACTGTTATAGTTTAACAAATTGGCAAATGAAATATTTGAACGCGATAAATCCTAACTAATCAAATAATAATCATTATTATAATATTAATATATAAATAATAAATAACGTTTATAAATAATAAATAATATTTATCTCATTAATAATTAAACATAAAAAATAACGAACATCTGTAAAGTCTAATGTTAACTTAATATTCAGATAGGTTAATTTAATTAATTGATAAATCGTTAAATAATTAATAAAATCGAAATTCGAAAATCGAGGTCAGTTATCAGAAAATAGGACAACTCAACGAGTATTCGTCGAACTTTGTGAGGAAGAAACTTTGGCCTTGGCAAAGGTTCGGTTTAACATAAACGGTACCTGTCTCTAGGTGAAAGGTAAATAAGATGGTATAAAATAAAAATCTTGAATGAGCGGTATGCTGTAGAGGAAATGTATATGTAGTGGGATTGAACAGGACTGGTCCAGCGAGAGATTCGGGTCTAAAGCAACAAAAAGAATCGAAAGACAGAGAATTTGGACCATTGACCTGTTTTAATTGATACATCTTTACAGCTTCTATCACCTACTTACATACATATGTAAATACGTTGTATATACGCACATTTTTATATCGTCCCAATGCTTTCTCTTCGATTATCGAATTTATATTCTTCTCGTAAAGAAATAAGAAACAAAAGAATAATATTTTTGTGTAATTCTTTTAATCCAAAACCCTTGGTTAATTCAAACGATAATTTTTATCAAAAATCTTATTTTATATAGCCGATCAGAAAAATAACGATTGCTGACTTGACTCGACTGACTACTCCAATTTCCCTTTCTAAACATAACTTTTAAGCGTTAATAGTAACAGGATTATTTTGTTGCTACGTAAGGGAAAAAAAGAAAGAAAGAGAAATCAAATTTCAATGTTATTACCACTCATTCGCTAACTTTTAAGAATGCGTATAAAATAAAAGGAAAAAGAAAGAAATAAAATGTATTAACGTGAATCATTCGATAAGATTTTAAATATATACAAACAATCAAAATATATATATATATATATATATATATATATATATATATGTACATACATACACATCCACACCCACGCACGAACACAATCACACACATACGTAAGTATTAGATTCCGATCCATATTGTATAATTAATCGGATAGTGACAGTATCGACAAAATTGATCGGATTGAAAAGGAATTTTTCCAAGTAAAACCAATTATAGAAAAAAGTATCCGGTGTCCTTGCCCGTGAAAAAAGTCAACTCGGTTGATTACTCTCAAGATGGTGAACAAGTTGTGGTACTCTCGCCACGCAAAATGAGGTCATTTCAAAGTCGTTGATCTTCACACGAGACTCGTTTGTCCTGGAAAGACGAAACACGATCGAAAGGAGCTCCGTAGGAGGAGCAAAAGAAAGGAATGAAGGAAGTGAGATTACAAGGGTGGGATAATTTGAAAGATCAGATCATTGTTCAAAGTTCACGAAATCTTACTCGGATGTACAATTTTAAACGATTTATCGTGATCATGCTCTCATGATCAACTGTACATAGTATCCCACTACTTAGCTAGCCGGAAATCGAAGTTGTCTCAGCTTTTACATTTTGGCCTTATTTGATGTGTTAACCTCACTCCACGAACGTCTTCCACCTCTCCTAAGGGGTTTCGACCACCACTTCTCTTCCCCTTCTTCTTTCACGGTTACCTTTCGTGGACCCACAACCAAGGTTATAAAGTACACCGATCACTTCAACGCGAAGCGCTGCCACATTGCCGATCGACGTCGTCTTCAATATCACTGTCCTCATCATCGGCACAGCCCTGCTATTCGAAAACGACAATTCCTCGGCAGAATTTTGGCAAAGTCAGCGGTCTTCTTACTTCGTACTTCTTCTTCTTCTTCTCCTTCTTCTTCTTCTTCTTTTTCTTTTTCTTTTTCTTCTTCTTCTTCTTCTATTACTATTACTTATACTTCTTCTTCTTTCTGGTTTTCTTCTTATTCTTCAAACATTATTTTTTTTTCTTCTTCTTCAACTATTTCTTCATTGAGAAGAGTGATTTCAACGTTCAGTTTCATGCGAGGCTCTTAATATTGTGTTACTGTCTCAAGAGAATATACAAATTGACATACATATATATATATATATACATATATATATACATACATATATATATATATATATATATATATATATGACTATATACTCTATAGTATTAAAAGTAAGATCTCTTGAGATTTCAATTTGGTGGCTAGAAAGTCAGCAAGTATCGTGCTTGAAGATCGCCTTCATTTTATCGGGGAAAATTGATTCTGCAAGCCGAGGTAAGAGAATATACTTTATTTTTTGTTTCATTATTCATTCGTGAAAGAAAAAAAAAGAAAAAAAGATATTTCCGTTAAAAAAAGTTTCGCTTTAAACAATCATACAATGATCAGTGTCGTTTTAATAAACGTGATATCATTAGTTTAATGATAATAACTTTATACTTCTCATATTTTTCCTCGGTTTTTTATTTCATTCCTATTGAATATAAAATTTTTACGAAATATCGATCTTTAATCTTCTTTTTTTTTTTTTTTCTTCGCCATCGTTTATCCAATATTTGTATTCGATTTATCGTGTTTTCATGAAATTACAATATATTTGAAATTTGCAAATTGTGAAAAATGTGAAGTTTATAATATTCTCTTGATGGTACGATCAATTGATTAATCAGAACTTTCACTTCGGGAAACCATTTATGTCGAAGATAAAATGTTCATGTTAACCGGAACTTGATGAATTTACAACAGACAAGCTAAAGAGAAAGAGATCATTGATTTCACTATGAAATACTTGGCTTGTTCTCGTGTGCATCTTTATGACGCGAGAGAGTCGATATAACGGATAATATATTATCGATTTTATTATACCAATAATAGGAAAGTTAAAAATTTTAATATGATAGATTGAAAATTAATTGCATCGTAATTTCCGTTACTTCGTATTAATTTAAAAATGCTTTCTCATTTTATATAATTCATAAGAATGATATATAATTCATAAGATTTTTTGTAATTTTATAATAAATGTAAATGTTTGTGTTGTATGTTGTAAAATACTTTTAAATTAAAAGAAAAATAGAAGAGGATAAAAAATAAAAGGAAAAAATTGAAATACAGATAGTAAAAAATTATTAATTAACACAAAATACAACAGGTTCAAGGAATATTAAATTCTATTTTTCGCAGTTGTTAAAATTCAATGTACAAACGGATAAACACGTCTCGAAGAAATTAGTTCCGGTGAGGGTTTAAATTAGACGATAGTAATGAAAGTTTCCATGCGGCGTGAAAGTTATCACAGTATTCATTCAAAGTGAATGACCGTAACTATAATGTGAACATAGGACATTAAGAACATTAAAAAGATTAACTTCTTAATAACGTGTTATTAAAAAATATCATTGCAAATTTAATGTCACTTTTTTTTCCTCGACTCCTCGATCTAATATTTTTTAATTTCTACGAATTAAACGAATTACTAAATTATTTCTACAAAATTTCTTTGAATTTTTTTTTCTTTTATCTTTTTTTTTTTCGAGCTTTTTATAAATCCATCGAAGACAAAATTTCGTAAATTTTCAAGCAACGAAAAAAAGGAAAAAAAAAATAATGAAAAAGAAAAGAAAAAGGATATAAAAGATTTTTGTCCTTAACAAAATCGATAAGATATGAAGTGGCTCGTTGGCTCGTTTCGATGTCAAGAAAGTTAAATATTTCTCAATGTAAATTTCATTATCGACATTTCCGCTCCATCAGCTAATAAAGCACGATCACACACACATACACACACACATATATATATTTATATATATATATATATATATAGATACTTACAAGATAGTCAACCCTGAATTTCCTGTATGAAATGAAAGTCGAAGATTGACCCCGTAGGTTTCTCTTTTATTACAACTCCTACCATATCTAAGAAGATTTCTAAGAACTTCAAAGCACCCAAGAGAAATGATATTGAGATGAAGGAAAATGATGAACGAGAAAAGAATCTTATTTTCTTTCGTTACAGACAATGGCGAGCTTTATTAATTCAACGACGATATTTATGAACGACATCTACGATTATTATCTTTGGACTCTCTCTTTAGCAGGTATGATGGATTTTCTTATTAATTATTATTTCTCGATTATCAAACATATCATGATCTTCTTTTTTTTCTTATTTGTTGAAATGATATCGAGAAGTAATCATAATTAAAAAAAAAAAAAAAAAAAAAAAATTTGATAGGTAAATTTTTATACGATAATAAAAATTTATACGAATTTCCTAATTAGACGAAAGAACGAGAGGATGGCTACTAGTCGATTCACCAAAACCAACTTTAATATATACGATGCTGTACCTCATGATCGTTTGGGCTGGACCAAAAATTATGAAAAAACGAAAAGCTTTTAAGCTTACGTGGGCTCTTGTACCGTACAATCTTACCATGGCTTGTCTCAATGCTTATATTGCCATTCAACTTTTCGTTGCTTCTACAAGGTTACGATATAGCTATGTTTGTCAACCAATTAGACACATAACTCGTCCAGATGAGATGCAAGTACGAACGCATTATTAATATTCGGAATAATATATAAATTAAATAAATATAAATTAAAATTTAAATTAAAATTCTCCTCAAAAATTAATTTTCTTTTTATTTATTATATATATATATATATATATATATATATATAATAATTTTATATTTTATATTTTTTATTTTATAATTTTATATTTTAATTTTATATTTTATAATATCATTTTTCATAGATCGCACACGCAGTATGGTGGTATTATTTTAGCAAGCTCTTAGAATTTTGTGATACATTCTTCTTTATTTTACGTAAGAAAGACAATCAGTTAAGCTTCCTGCACGTCTACCATCATTCGACGATGTTCTCCCTTTGGTGGATTGGTATTAAATGGGTTCCAAGTGGATCTAGTAAGTATGACAAACTTTTTATTCTTTTTAAACTATCTGAGAAATCTTTTACGAGTATAGATTTATTTTCATAACGGTATACCTTACGAAACGTTTACTCAATATTAATAATTCTACCATTTATTTTAGCTTTCTTACCAGCTATGGTAAACAGTTTCATCCATGTATTGATGTATTCGTATTATGGGTTAGCCGCTTTGGGTCCCTCAGTTTCCAAATATCTTTGGTGGAAGAAATACTTGACGATTCTCCAGTTAATCCAATTTACAATGGCTCTGATTCTCGGCATCAATGGTATTCGATCAGGCTGCGATTTCCCTCTTTGGATGCAATATGCACTTGTCCTTTATATGATCTCGTTCATTGTTCTATTTGGAAATTTTTATGCTAAAGCCTATATCGCCAAGGTGAGTACAATAAATACAACATATAAATCAATAGATACAACATATGATTTTTAAGGCAATTCTTAATATAGATATATATATATATCTAATATATTTAATATATTTATAAAATATATATAATATATTTATATAATATATTTATATTATAAAATATATATATATATCTAATATATTTAATATATTTATAAAATATATATATCTTATATATATATATATCTAATATATTTATCAATTATAATATATTTATATTAGTGATACATTAAAATACAATGAAATATGATTTTGTAAGTCATTTAAATTTCTTATTATATTTAATATATTCATAAGAACTCATACCAGAATATAAAAATAGTTATTTTTAAAATAATAGATAATCATTATTCGCTTCTATAATTGATACAATATCGTTTGATAATTTATACAATATAAATAATCAATTAGAGAAATAAAATGGAATAATTATTTGATAAATTTATGAAATCAAGGATATAAGAATAGAATACGAATAAGTTATATAATCATTCGAATATTTTAAAAAGTGATGTAAACGATACATTGAAGTTCATCAAAATTTAAAATTTATGAATGATCAGTAATTATTATCGAGTCTCAAAATAAAAAAATAGAAACAAAAAAGGGAAACGATCAATACGTGTTCAAAATGTTTTATATTTTTATCTAACAATTTATATTAATGTAATTTTTTTTTTTTTTATTTTTTCTTTTTCAGGGTAAACAAGCGTACGCGGAGAGACAATTGGAGAGGTTGAAGACAAAGAAATCGAAGATCATTGAAAACGAGAAGAAATCCGAAGAAGTAATCAGTAACGGGATACTTACAAATGGACACGTCAATGGATACGTAAACGGCGTTACGAAACGAAAGGCTTAGTCAGAGTGATCTTCGAGGAACTTCGAGGATTTTTTTTTTCTTTTTAAAAAAGGAATCACTCGAACTTTATCGTAGAATTTAATTGAGGAAGAGACATCTTGAGAGCCAAAGAGAGCCCATTTAGAACGAATTAAAGGAAAAGAAAAAATATATATAAATTAAAATAAGGAAAATGGAAAAAAAAGAAAAGAAAAAAAAAGGATAGAGAAGACGATTCTTCATATTCTTAATTTTTTTTTTTTTTTTTTTTTTTTATTCATCCTCATCATCGTTATCATCGTCATCATCATTGTCATCGTCATCGTAATCGTCATTGTAATCGTCATCATAATCATCATTAAGATCATTGTGTCGTTCAAAAAAAGCATCGATCTCGGCTACTCTTCTTCCTCTTCAATTTTTCGATCGATCGATCCTCTCTCGTGTTCTTCAAGTTACCGGCCTGCGGCTTTTCTTCTCCGCGATCGCCAAAATTATACTTCTAATCGTCGATCCGAAGGAATTGTACATATTATTAATATATTACATATATAAATAAATGAATAAATATATATATACATATATATATATATATATATATATATATATATATATATATAAAACACACCAGAAATGTTGCGATAGGGGAAAGGAGAAGGGGAATTGTTTAAAATACATATTATAATTAGCGACGATCGAAGAATTCGCTTCGTCGGAATTCAGTGCAGTGAAAAAAAAAAAAAGAAAAAAAATGATAATAATGATACAGAGAAAAGAGAGAAAAAAAAACGAGATGCAAGTTCGAAAGCGACGCTCTCGTTTTAAGACTTCCGCAATTTCGGTCAAGCGCGTATGTATGTAGGTACAACGTACCGGCAGGAATGAGCCCGCCGAAAGTGTGTCACGATAAAATGTCTTCGATCATATTTTTTTTCTTCTTTTGCTCTCTTTTCTCTCTCTTTTCTCTCTCTCTCTCTCTCTCTCTCTCTCTCTATCTCTCTCTCTCTCCTTCTCTTTTTTTTTTTTTTTGATTCGAAAAATAATTTCCATAAAGATAAGATATTGCACATAAATCAATTAATCACGCGTACAAAGCGAGATATCTAGAAAGAGAGAAATAGAAAGAAGTGGGGAAAAAAAAAGGAAGAAGAAAAAAGAAAGGATCAAGACAAATCTGTTTTTATATTTCTCTTTTTGAATTACTATAATTATTACTATCCGATAATGTCGTCGATTTTTCAGTAGTAATTTTATACGAACGTTTTTCTATGAATATCCTTATCGTAAATAATTTTATCGTATCTTTATTATTAATAAAACAAAAAAAAAAAAAAAAAAAAACAAAAAAGAAGAAATAAATAGATTTCTTTCGGCGTGCGCTGATCACAAAAATAAAAAAGAATAAAAGAATTGAAAAAGAGTCAATAAACGAATAAATAAATAAATGAATAAACAAATAAAAGAGTCGCTCCAAAACGCGAAATCGTTCGATCGATTTGTCATTATAGAATTTCTTCGATACTTTTTTCTTCATTCATCTTCTTTTTTTTTTTGTTTCTTTTTTTTTGTTCTTTCTTTGATCCTATTCATTAGCAGGAGGGCTCTAAATTGTATTCGGCACTTGCCTCTGCGTGTAGATCGCGGATGGATAAGTCGTGCCAAGAAATCGTATTTAACAAATAAATGTGTACAATATTAAAATAAATACATAAAATACGTACATACATACATACATACATACATACATACATACATACATACATACATACATATGTGTATACATACATAAATACGACAGTACGATTCGTGGGTAAACCGGTATCCGTTTAATTCTTTATCTATTATCATCACGAGAAATGTTTAGATAATATCCTATTGTTAATTATGTGTTTGTCATTATGTAACAACTGTTATATAAAGGTCATTGCTGCGCAATGTCGAAAAGAGGTGAACACATCCTCTTCCTCTTCATTTCTCATAAACTTCTCTAATTCATTTTTAGACACAATCGCAAGGAATTCCTTACATTCTCTATACAGCGATGATAAGTGTAACAATTGATTTCAAAATTATTATTCTAAAATTACGTGAAATATTTATGAAGTTTTTTCGATCTTTACGTTTCGTATCGAAAATCAAAATGCGATATGAGTTTATTCATTCTATTGTATAAATGATTAGACGGATTAACAAAATTTATAAAAAAGAAAAAAAAAATAAGATCGCTTGCAACGAAACTTGAAAAGTAATTTTTATTTCAATTCGATTTTCAATTTAAATATGACGGTATTATTGAAAATGTAAAATTCATACAAACTCGGTTATGGTAGAAAAATTGTTTCTTAAGTTTGTTTTGAAATTTTTTTATAAGGTCAATGAAAAATAACGGATGAATGATAATATTTTTTTGAATAAGTCCGTCTATAAGTTGCCTATCAGAATTTATAAGTAATTTATTACGTTCGCAGGGATATATCAATTTTACAATCTAAATGATTGTAAGTAAATTGATAACATTTATACCAAAAGTCAAATTAGACGACAAGATATATGAATAATTTCGATTCAATTTAATTTTTATTTTTAAAAATTAAATAATGTATACAAAATCGCATATGAAACAGGATTAAATTAAAATAAATAAAAATTGTAGGAAATATGTAAAATGGTTTTAGCCATTAATACGAACTATATCGGTCGTGTTTATTATATGTCTCACGAGTAAAAAATCTTAGTTCTTTTTATTTTACTTATTTATCATATCGACGCATTGAGTACGGCATACGTTTTAATGGTTCTACGAGTGAACAAAATTCATTAGTAAATACATTAAATATTGATTTCTTCCTCGTTATAAAATTTTCATAGATATCATTTATGCGCATTTTTTTTTTTTGTAATTCGGCGTGAATAAATTTACATTGATTTTTATTAAGCATTCTCATCAGACGAATCGTTTTCTTTTCTTTTTCTTCTTTTTTTTTTTTTTTTTTTTTTTTTAACATAAACCACTAAACCTAATAAATTCTATTATTCGTAAAAAAAAAGAAATAATATACTGATCGTATAATTTGTTCAGTAAATAAATGTTCTTCAAACATAAATAAAAATTAAAAATTTTCGACTAAAAATATTATAACAAAATTTTGTTAATTTTTCAATCGATAAGATTTTAACTCGAGAATATATTTCTACGCTATAATTTGCCAAGTTGATATTTGTTACGTTATACAGAACATACTTTGTTAAATAAAAATCTGTATGAATTATTTATGTAAAAATACGATCGGTTTAACGGATTAATAGAATGATAATGTTTAATACTGTCTTATCAAAGACCGATACGTTTATCAAGATACGATTATCATTTACTATTGTTTAGTAACTCTATATTTAAGCAGATCTTATTATACTACATTCACATACTTTCTAATACATTATACGTATGAAATATAAACAAAAGATAAAACTCAGATTCTTAATCCATAGGATTAGGATTTAAAATTGATTCACCATATGCCAACTGTTGTGCGACAGAAAATAATTCCGACCAACAGGATATTCATACTTACAACTATTAAAACGGGAAAGAGTTAAAATGACTTTATATATACACATATATATATATATATATATATATATATATATATATATATATTTACTTTATATTATAGATATTATAGATACAATATTGAAGGAAGCATTTTTACAAACGATTATTTACTTCTTTAAATAGCAGAAATTAAAAAAATTTTTTATTTTAAGGAATAATGCATGTATATATTCCATAATTTTATATTAACAATACACAATTAATAATAATTGTTTATAATAATATAGAAAATTAATAATAAATAATCATTAATATATAGTGAATATATAAAATATAATATAGAGAAATATATATATATATATATATATATTTCTTAAAATATAAATAATTTCATATATATTTTCAATTTTTATCTAATATTTTTTAATCATTTGGAGACTCTCGCATTTCGCATTAGCTTTTTACACGTTTATACTTCCACAAATTGTTTTATAATTTTTTTCTTTTTCAAATTAATTGAATTAAGATATCAAAAAGTTAACATCTACTTGTTACGCGAACTCTTGTTCGTATATCCTACTTAATTCTAATTGTATATCGCAATATTTAAAATACGCAATAAATAGATATGACAAAGTATCTATTTAAAATCAATACACTGCCACATAGTGATTTTACAAAATATTAAGTACAAAATATTGAGAACGCATAATTAAAAGAAGAAAAAAAAGAAAAAAAAAAGACAGAACAAAAACAAAGACTTGTTCCTTAATCACGACTTCTAAGAACTGCGACAGCTAAATAAATCGAATTTGTTTTTCCAACGTAATGTTTTATATGATAAGCTATGGCAAATTCTACTGGACCGGTTACATTCTGTGCTTTCGTAGAAGCTAAACGTTCCGTTAAATCCTCCAAAGTAGATTGCCTTAAATTCAATATGAAACCATGCATATAATATGCTCTGTACAATTGTTTCAAATCTTTCTTATCGGGTTGCTTCGACGAATTATTGTCTTCGATTTTCGAAATGTAATTTCGTAGGACGGCGATAGCGTGACGATTGTAAATCGTTGTTAATTCAGCTGTACTACGCCAATATGAAAATTTATCTCGTAGATGTTGTTCAGTTTGCATAGCCGATTCACGAAGAGTTTCTTCCTCTTCCTGGGAAACATTCAATTCAAGAACTTGAACAATACGTTCGGTGGTAGTAGAAACGATAACTCCAATTGGACGCCAATCTTTGCTCGTTTTCACATCGTATTTCAAATTATGCGGTAAAATAGATTTTTGTAAATTCTCCCATATCTATAAGAACGTTATGCATTAAAAGTAAACTACATGATTCGTGCAATCAAAAATAAAATATAAACTTTCAATTATATCAACTTACACCAGAATAATTAACCAAATACGAAGCTTTCATTAAAGGACAATGACTATCACTTGGATTATAATGATCGCTAGTCTCAGGATCCCAAATTGTAATATCTGTGTTTTCTTCTATACTTAAAACAAATGCTGCCCATTTACTTGTCTGAGAAGAACCTATAATGTTCACAAAGTATCGAACTAATATATTATTAAAAAATGTTTATGGATAATATTATTTTATCGTTAATACCTAATAGTACGTATGTTTGCGAGCCAAAACTTTCTAATAAAGATGCAAGTAAAATAGCACGACCATAATGATCGACCTTATTTGCACTTAAAGTCTGACGAGGTGTTAAAGGTCCATAATGATTAGGTACTTCTGGTATTAGCATTGTTAGTCTGGCTGCTTCTTCTGGACTTTGTATATTTGTTATTTTATATGGAGATAAAAGACAACGTTGAATATTTTTTAGCAGCCTATTAATCGTACTATCCTCTTCCAATTTAGCATTACCAGGTAGCTCTAATTTCATCAGTATATAAATTCTTGTACGAGGATGACCAGGACTAGCTTGTACATAACCAAATAACATTGTGGGACTGTACAAAGGTGATAAAGCTACCCAACGTTCTAATTCTTGATAATTTCTATGATGTTCAAGAGGTATTCTTGCTTCACCTAACCACTGTTGACCCCATACAGGATGCTGATCATATAAACGTAACTTTACATCATGTTCCCCACTTTTTCTTGGTAATTCAAAATGCATTGTTTGATGCCATATAGGTGCTGGACCATCTGCAATAGGAGTAATATGTACAATATTACCCCATTCTACCTCTAAAAGTGGTTGAACCAATGCAGATTCTTCTCTAATTGGTATTTCAACGCCACGTAAAATAGTAACAGAAAGTAAAGCCTTTCCAATTGTATGATGTCGATGTGTACTAGAGGATGGTCGTAATGGACGTCTAGCTTGTAATAAATTTCTAAAAGATATGTCCAACAAAGAAAGAACAGATTGTTCTGTCACAGTTATATCTGGAGGTTTTGATAACTGTCTCTCTTTTTTTTTAACTAAAAGATTTTCTTCTATATTTTCAAAACGTAATGCAGGATCTTCCAATAGAAAATATTTTATTTCTCTGTTACATATCTTTCTTTTATTAGGTCTATGCAAAGAAAGACCATTTTGTGGATCATTTGGATCATTGCTTAATCTATGCAAATACGTGGTACTTGTTTCTTCTTGATTTTGTCCATGTAAGATCATAGTAATTGTACACATGACAGTACCCGAATGAATTCTTCCTGTACTATCAGCTATAGCAAATTCTATTTCAATATTATTATTTTTAACAGAATGTTTTGGCAATGGTAAAGGTAAAATAGTAGACTGACCATCTTTCAAATAAACTTGTATTGAAAGATTGTTACATTCTGAATTTCTAAGTAATAATTTATGTAATTTTCTATTAAATGGTTTATTAGTTTTGCATATAACTTTTTTCTTAAATAAAAGTGAAACAGAAGTAATCTCAACGTTTGAATCATTTTGATTATTTTTAGAATAAATATTAACGCAACGTATTGCAATTTCTACAAGTTTTCCTGATAACTTTGGTATTGTTTCATGATCTAACATACTTGTATTATTAAGTAAATAAGGTTTAATAACATTTCGTGTAAATGGATTATCAGAAGTATATAATCCATCCTCTATCAATGAAGTTTTATCAATTTTCTGTCGAGGACTTTTGTTATTTTTTACTATAACGCTGTTTATCTTTTGATCATTATTTATTACAGGATAAGCATAACTAAGACTAAGATCTTGCTTATCGCTATCATGCGATTTCCATTGTAAAAAATTCATATTTCAATTAAACTAATTTTTCTACATGTAACACCTGTTCATGACACTTTTTATTCTACTTTGTATACAAAATCATGTTTCCATAGCAATGTAAAATTTTTATATTGATGAGCTGCTCCATAGATACATTATAGACATATATCATTGATGAATTTCTTCGTATAAGTATAATAAAATTATAGTTCAAGCTACGTCCGCTAGGGTTTATACATATAATGTACATCTGCGGTCATTAATTTATCATTGGAGAAAGAAGTTCTCTCTCTATACGTTCAGTTGTAATCCAATTGCCTATTATACTTATTCTTTCTTTTGTTTTCCCGATTATTATATGACAGTATTACTATGCTTTGTCTACACATATAAAAAATTTATATGCATATTGACCATCCGAATTATATATTCCCAAAAATGGTGAAAGAGTAAATATTAGGTTGGAAACTATGAAACGGGCATTGAATGAAAATAAATAACTAAACAAAAAAAATTTAATATATATATTCGAATAGAGACAATCGGGTAGAGAAATCAATTTTCTCGAATGAAAAGTATACACACTTTGTCATATATCATTCCTTCGTATTAATATGCATACAAATGCTTGTATATAATGAAAATGTAACAAGCCAATCATATTAAACTACAAACAAACAATGAACCAATCATGATAGCTTTCTTGTCACTATATATATATCTCTATATATGTATATATATATAGTGTGTGACTATAGATCGTCTTCAGTCATGATTATTTACAAATAATTATTTAACATTAATATTATAATTTGTCACATAATAATATTACTCGTGTTAATTCTACATACTAGTGGAAAAGAAAATCTAATTATATAGAGAGGTTATTTACGATAATGGCATTTAAGAGAATAGTTTTACGTGCTTTGTCTTATGTATCTTGACTACGTGAATTGAACTTACATTGTAGTTTTGATGTTCGTCTAATAAGTGTTATGAACTTGATATTATTACAAAAAGAAGTTTTTATTTTGAATTTATTAAAAATTCTGTGTGAGTTTATCAATTATATTTGAAAATATGTCAGAAGACGAAGTAGAAAGTTTCGAGATCAGCTATGATTTTGAAAATGAATTTAATATAAATCGTCCTAGACGAAAACTTTCTAAAAAACAGCAGATGCTCGGTAAGAATGTTAAAGAAATATTAATTGATATTTTTGTAACCATTAATAAATTTTAACTATATCATTTATATTTGAAAAACATTTTTCATGTTGAGGTTATAAACAGTTCATTTTATTTTTTTTTATTTTATCATTTGAGGTTATAAATACTTTATTTTGGCCATATATCACATTCTATTTAAATTCATAATGTTAATAATTTATGTTACTGTAGGTATTTGGGCAGATGATAGTGATGAAGATGAACTTTCTGCACGACCTTCTTTCAAAACCTATAACAAAGGGCCAAAAAATTATACAGTTCCGGTTAATTTTGTTGCCGGAGGTATTCAACAAGCTGGTAAACCACCAGAGGAAAAAGAGGATAAAGAAAAAGATGATGATGATGATGATGATGATGATGATGATGACACAAAAACTTCTCAAAGAGATGGGGAAGGATATTTTAATAGTTCAAGGTATCATTAAGAAATGTTTATAATAATTATTTTTTTTGTTTTTTTTCTATTTTATAATTGATTTTTTAATATTTATAGCTCGGAGGATGAAAAACCAAGTAATTCTAAACAACGTACGTCATTCTCATTAAACGTAGAAGGAGATATTGCTGGATTACGTAAAAAGAGATATCAAGTAAATCCTTCATTCATGAAAAGTGGTGTGGGTAGTTGGGAAGTGCACACAAAAGGGATTGGAGCCAAACTGTTATTACAGGTTAGAATAAATAATATTAATTTATAATTTGTATTATATATAGGAATTAATTGTAACTAATGTAAATATTCATAATGCAGATGGGTTTTGAACCTGGCAAAGGGTTAGGAAAGCAATTACAAGGTATAAGTGCACCAGTAGAAGCTCATTTTAGAAAAGGTAGAGGTGCTATTGGTGCATATGGTCCAGAGAAAGGACCAAAAGTAGTTGAAAAAAGGAAAGAAGAAGCAGAGGATGTAAAGGATTCTAAGCCTAAAGTATCCCAATGGAGAAAAGGGGATAGCATTAGTAATAAGAAAAAAGTCAAATACTCATATCGCAGTGTTGATCAAGTTCTAGAAGATGGAAAATTAAAACCAAATAGAAAACTTCCACTTTCAAGTGAAATGAGTAGAGTGAAAGTTATAGATATGACAGGGCCAGAACAAAGAATTTTAAGCGGTTATCATGCAATAGCCGGTGGCCAGCAATATCCAGATGAAACTATACCAAGTGTTAATAAAAAGGATAAAATTAATTTTTCTTTGCCGGAATTACAACATAATTTAAACTTGCTTGTAGATATGTGTGAACAAGATATTATACAGAATGATAGAAGAACAAGACATTTGAGTGATAGAGTAATAGCATTAGAAGCAGAGAAAAGAAATCTGTCCAAGGTTGTAGATCAACATGGACAACTCATTGATACTTTAGAAAATGTTCTAGCAGTTGTTGATAGATTAATGGACGAAACAAGTGAGATAACATTACAAGATACCGCTGATGTATTTAAAAGTTTGCAAGATAAGTATTATGAGGAATACAAGATGTATGAATTGGGTGATTTGGCTACTAGTTTTGTGGGTCCAAAAATAAAAGATTCTTTACTTTCTTGGAATCCATTGATGCAACCAAAGCAGCCTATAAAATTATTTGAACAGTGGAAAGAAATATTAGAGACTGGTACAAGTCCACTTCAATCAAGAACAATACAACCTTATGACCAACTGGTTTGGAATGCATGGATGCCTTCTATCAGAGGAGCTGTGCAGTAAGTTTTTCTTTTATCATAAATTGTAATTTCATTGTTTTTTTTTTCTTTTACAATAAAAATTAAATCTATGAAATTTTCATATGTAAATTATTTGTTATAAACTAGGCAATGGACATGCAGGCATCCAGATTCGTTAATAGAGCTATTAGAGCATTGGATACCATTGTTACCTGGTTGGATTTTTGAAAATATTTTAGATCTATTAATACTTCCTAAACTTACTTTAGAAGTAGAAGAATGGAACCCCCTCACAGATACTGTTCCAATACATACATGGATTCATCCTTGGCTACCATTAATGCGTAAGTACAAAGAAATTATAATTATTGTTTTCTTTTCCATTTAATCGATTATTATTATATGATATTTTTTATGAATTTTTAGGTAATTGGTTGGATACATTAATATATCCTATTATAAGACGTAAACTTGGTTCTGCTTTGGGAGGTTGGCATCCGTCAGATAGATCAGCAAGATTAATGTTACAACCTTGGGCAGAAGTATTTGCAAAGGGTGATATGGAAGCTTTTCTAGTGAAAAATATTATACCAAAACTTCAAATAGCTCTTTCCGAGTTTGTTATAAATCCACATCAACAGCATTTGGATCAATGGAACTGGGTAATAGAATGGAAAGAATTAATACCATCCCATATAATGGCGAATTTACTTGATAAATTCTTCTTTCCTAAATGGGAACAAGTTTTGACTTTTTGGTTAAATCATTCTCCAAATTATGATCAAGTCATGAACTGGTATATGGGATGGAAGGGAATGCTGAGCGATAAGTTATTGGCAGAGCCATTAGTGAAAGGTAATTATTCATTGTAATTAACATTTTTCATTGATAGTTTCATTGAGAATAGTCATTAGGGAAACAACATTTTTCTATTTTACAGAACACTTTAAAAAGGCGATCGATATGCTAAATAGAGCCGTGGCTGCACCTCCGAGTCATCAACCAGGAGCTGCTATGGACCAAGTTTCATACTTGAACAATTTGGAGAGGAATCAACCGACGATAATATCATCAGTGGTACAACCGAGGATGGAGGTAGGAATTATTTCTTGAATTGGTCCAACGATAATATCCATGATAATTTTAATTCTATCTTACTGTTTTTTTTTCTTTTTTTTTTTTTTACAGAGGTTGGCAGAAGCAGTGAGAATAGCAGCACCACAAATTCATTTAGGCTTTAAAGATCTCATACAGAGAAAATGTGAAGAACGAGGTATCCTTTTCATGCCTATTCCAAATAAATACAGGGAAGCGAAGCAAGTTTACAAAGTGGGTAATGTCCAAGCATATATAGACGGTAAAATGATATTTGTTTATCATAATGGAACCAATTGGACGCCGACGAATGTGAACGCCTTACTCGATATGGCGGAACTTTAGATATAAATTTAACGATCGACAAAATTATCGTTTAACATTAGAATTTTTATTTATTTTAAGAATTAATTTTAATCGAATATAACAATATTTTATAATGTTATTCGATACATAGATATACGATTTTTGTTTTGTACATATTATACATAATTAACGAGTATCATGTGAACGATTTTATCCAACGAGAAGTGGAAAAAGAAAACAAAAACAAAAGAAAGAAAAAAAAAAAAAAAAAAAAAAGAAAAAAAGAAAAAAAAAGAAGGTAAAAAGAAAAAGCAACAATGTTGTATGTAAAATAATATATGCATAAGAATTTGTACGTAATATCTTACAAATATCAAAACACGAATAGCATTAAATTAGACAGTATTTCCTTCTTTTTCTTATCAAATATCTTTTCCATAGTGATTATTTCTTTAAAACGACAAGCTAATACTACGTAGACTTCGGTCTCGCCGATCTTCAATCTTATCGAGTAGCACTTCTGTTCGGTCAGTTCGAAGTCGAACGCGTGTAGGCGCCTCTGGTTATCCCACTACGAAGGCGCAGCTTTTAAAACTCCTCCATATGGAAAGTTGCACGCTTGATTCCTATGGAACCCCGTACTTGCTCGTTCGTTTGTACGTGTGTGTGAAAGAGAGATAGAGAAAGATAGATAGAGAAAGAGAAAGAGAGAAACAGGGCCAATGAGTAGCTTGTATCAAACGTTACGAGTGTGCACATAAGCGATACGTCGTCGGTGTACTAACACGAACGTATGCAAAACGCTTGCTCGAGAGACTGGTCCAGGGAGAAGAGGA